CCGTCTTATTTTTCACACACGAAACGCAAAGAAAAACAAACAAATCGTAAAGTGGGCACGCCGGGGCACGCGACTTTACGCGAAATGCGCTCTGTCTATGAATTTGCAAACTAAACCCGCACCCGCCCGATCATTAAGTGGGATTGCCGGGCAACCTAAACTGCATAGAGTGTGTGAATTTACATAGTAAAGCCCGCCCCCCGCCGGATCGTCAACATGGTTTGTTGGACAACGCCCCACAATTAACTCCCGCAAGTCCCACAAGTCTCGCAGTCCCACAAGCCCCACAGGTCCCACAGGTCCCACAGGCCCCACGGCTCCCACAAACCCTACAGGCCTTGCAGGTTTCGCAAGCCCTAACAAGGCCGACGTTTCGCACAGGCCCCACACGTCCTGCAGGCCCCATACCTCCCACACGCACAGGTCGAACAGGTCCCGCAAGACTCACCGATCTCGCAAGTCGCCCAGGCCCCGCGTGTCTCGCAGGTCCCACAAACCCCACAAGGGCACAAGTCTCACACGCCCCACAGGACCCACAGGGCGGCACGCTAATAAACCATACAAATCGCGCAGGAACCCAATACTTAGGCAGATTTACCCATCCCCGTGAAAAAAAAACTTAGCAAAAACAGCACAAGGATGGAAGCCAAAACGATGTTGAATCAGGCCAGGCGGGGCCCGTCGCACAAAGCGACATCGGCCTGGCAATGTTAAAGAAGGACGTCTCGTCTGGATTGCGCGGTGCACGGTAGCCATCCGACTGTGGGAACGAAGTCGTACGGCAGAACGTGGAACCGACCACGCCAGCGGCCCTGTGAAGGATTAGTTTGGAAGAGCAACCGGGCATTAAGTGGCGTCCGCCTCCCAATGTCGCCACCGGGCGCGCAAGCCAAAGCATGGCATATCAATGACCTGGCCCATGGTGCACGCCTGCGCACGCTGCCAACATTGAAAGGCGAACGTCACTTAATGATCCTTTTTGGGCGTTGCCGTGTGCAAATAATTCAAGACGATCGTCTTGTTGATGTTGTTATAACTTTTCTCCCGGCTGTGTAGGGCAGACATTTCCGCCTTACCTGCGAAACCGCTCAAAGTACGGTGGATCCAGAATCAGGGCCAGGGCCCGAATCAGGGCGAACGCGCTAAGTGCGAGAGAAACGGCGACGCGTCAGGATCTCAGGGTCAGGGCACTCGGGGCCCAAAAACCGTGTTGTGAAAGACGGCGGGGTGACCTCGAACCCCCATGAGACCTCACCGCGCGGTCCGTCACCGCACGGTTGGGGGATCCTTGAGGCCCCGGTCGCCCGAAACGTCCTCGGAAGACTACCTGATTCCCAAAACCGTGCAGTGACCCCGAATCCCCACGGACTCACCACGCGGTGTGGTCACCACACCGTTGTTTGGGGAACCCGAACCTACCGATACACTGCTACTCCACGGGCCTCTGACCGGCACTTCGAAGCGCATCCGGCGGCGGCGACGAGGGCCTCCCAGGATGCCCAAGAATGCGACAGCTGGGCAACAGTCTCGGTGTCACTACCCCTTCCTCCTCTGGGCTTCCGGGCCCCCGCGAAGGGGAGGCCCCGGGCCCCTCCTGCTGGGCGCCGGGGGCGGTGGCCGAGTCCGCCGGCCGGCCAGCGGGCTCTCGGCGGGCGCCCGGCGTGCTGGTGGCGCGCCGCCCGCCCGCCGCAGGCGGCCCTCGAGCCTCGGAGCCGCCACTCGAGCCAAAGGGGGGAGGGGACGGGGAGGAACAACGGTCGACGGGCAACAGCCGGCACCGGATGCCCCTGGTGGTGGAAGCAGGGTGCTGTTGGGTTGCAGGAAGCTCTGCGTGGAGGCGCCCCCGCCGACACGCGGGCCCTCTGCGTGCCTACCGGCACTCCTCGGAGGGGAGGTCAGACAGATGGGAGCACGAGCAGAAAGTTTGGGGACAGGCGGGACGATGCAAGAGGAGCAGGGCGAGGAGGGGGGGGCGCAGAGAATGACGGGGGGGGTCAGGGGGAGGGGGCAGCGGGCAGGAGAGGAGGAGGAGAGGAAGAATAGGAAGAAGTGAGCACCCCCAGCGCCCCCAATCTAATACTGGCGGGCTGCGCCGCGATGCGTCGATCTGTCGACTGGCCGAAATCCTGCGTTCCACCACTAGCGATGCCCACCAACATTCAATCGGCGGCAGGGGGGCGCATTGAAAATGCGCCAGCACCCTGGTCGCGCGGGTGGTGATTGTCCATCAACGGGAGGGGATGAAATGACAAGAAGTGGATCGACATAAACTGTCGGAGGTCCACGCGGATTTCATGGATCGGCGCTGGATCTGAGAAGCGGCCCGAAAACTGGAGCCCCTCCTGAGACCAGAGTGGTCCCTGCTTCTGCGTCTTGACTGTACCGTGGGAGCGAGTGAGCGAAAGGCGCTCTGTGCTTTGGAAGGAAGCATGCCCCTGCACATATAATTTCGGAGGTCCGTGTGGATTTCTTGGGCTGGCGCTGGGCCTACTTCCGTAATGGAGATCTGCTGATGGCGTGTATACTACGGGGGATTTTTCCTACCGGGCAGACGCGATAATGACTGTGAAACGATCGCCGATGCCCCTGACAGGAACGGTATCTTATACATCAGCCAACAGAACCTTCGGTATGGCAAGAAGGGCAAGGAAGGGGGTCGGGTAGCAAGGATGGATGGACGAGGGCTCATCCTCCTTTTCCTCCTTCTCCCAATGCTCCTGTTGCTCCTTTTGCCCCGCCTCCTGCTCCTCCTCCTCCTCCTCCTCCTCCTCCTCCTCCTCATCATCATCATCATCATCATCATCATCACCATCATCCTCCCAGCGCTCCGCTTGCCGTTCCTCTTCCCCTCTTCCCCTCTTCCTGTACCTGCGCGGGGCCATCGTGCGGCTCTTTTGGGGTCGCTTCGAAGCCCACCCCACCCATCGCGGCCATAGCCTCTCCGGGCAGTGCTTGGTCCCTGGAAGCCCAGCGCTTAGGGCTCTCTGAAGCCTTCTTGGGCCGCGGCGGGTTCCTTCGGAAGGCTCTTTGGGTAGTTGAAGAGGGGGATGAGGAGGAGGAGGAGGAGGAGGAGGATGAGGAGCGCACGTAACCTGAGGCGGTTCGTGGTGACCTGGGCACTAGATGCGCATGGCATCGAGTGCGGCGGCTCGGATTTCGTAATGGTATGGCGGCGGCGGGGGCCGACGGTGCAATGCGAGGTCAGCTTTCAGTTTGTGATAGATGTGAAAGCTGAGGACAGTAATGTAGTGGCATCGCTGGCGGGGATATTGTCTCCAAATCGGGCTCAGCTCCAAGACCCAGACGAGTGAGGGGCGAGACGGGGAGAAACCCGCGAGGAAGAGCGAGGAGGTGCAGAAGACGAGGACACACGAGGTAGTGGGGGAAGTCATTTGGGTCGGAGCAGCCGAGGAGACAGGAACAGGCAAGAGCACTGGGAAGACGGGCAGAGGTCGTCCAGGCCCCCGCCAGAGTCTTCAGGTGAGCCCAAACCCAGGACGGAGGGGTGCGGCAGAGGACAGCACGGAGGGCCTCCCAGCGCTTTTGCAGCTCGGGAGGTGCTGGGAGGCCACCCCTCGGGAGCCAGACGGAGAGACGCCGACGGAGCAGGGAGGGGAGGGAATCAGGGAAGAGAGACGAGGCGAGGCGACGGGAAAGGATGCGCTGAGGGCGTGGGCGGCGGGCGTCCTGCATCGCCGCCGCGATCTCGGCGTCGGCTGCCGACGTTGCAGCACACCAGGCCACAGCATCCACGCACGGTGGTGGGGCCGTCGCCGAAATTGACTTCTCTAGGAATTCGGCTATTGAAGATTAGCGAATCCAGCACTGTGGTGAGAATCGCCTATTCGCTAGAGCACTGAGCGTGCCGTGCAACTGTCCATGTGCCCGTAGGGTCTCCAGAGGGCCCGCCCAACCCCTAGGCCCATCACGGGGAAGAGTGTGCGAGGCCGTTCGCCACGCCGACGCGGCAGCGAGAACGCGGGCGGATCGTGGGACTGCAGATGGGAGCCAGGAGCCAATGCTCAGGAGCTCGCTGAGGCCGAAGGAATTGGGGGGGAGACGGAGGAGACGGTGGAGGACGTGCCGCTCAGACCGAAGGAGGGACGGGGGGAGAGGGAAGAGCTGGCAGACATAACTAAGGACAGGGAGGATGCAGAAATTATAGAGCCTGCAGCTGGCTTCCGCTGGGGAGCGGGAGAGAGCCGTCTCGATGGTGCGGGCAGGCCATTTCTGGGAGGGGGCGGCCCACTGCTGTTCTAGGGACGCGCCAGGGCCAAACTCAATGCCGAGGAAGGTTGTGTGTCCGCGCACATGGAATTCTGACAAGTGAGGGACGAGCTCAGCAATCATTCTCTGGAATTTCGTCTCCACGGCTGGCGTACAGGACTCCGCCAGGGGGGCGACACAGCACTTCTCGGGCTGAAGGGACAGGTTCGCAAGAGTGCGGGCTGCGTCGAAGGGGGGGGCGGGAGCGTGGAGGAGGTCAATCGAGGGAAGGGCAAGTCCCACATCGTCCGCCGTCGCTCCACATGCAGGATAGAGCCCTGGGCACAAACTGACAGGGCGAGGGCACATGTTGCGAGCTGTCGGGCATGTTATTTGGGCCTCAAGGTGGCGCAAGAAGGGGTCCATGCACAGGGCCCAGATGGTGCCTGAGAGGGGGCATCCTTGGGCGACCCCTGAGGAGACCACGAAGAGCGGGAGCCTGGCGGAGCCGCATCGGGCGTGGGCGAGCGCCCCAGAGTAAAGAGCAGAAATCACATTCAGAAAACCCGTCGGGATGCGATGTGGCTCGAGCACTCGGTGGAGAAACGCCTGGGAGAGGGAGGGGAAAGCAGCGCGGAGAGGAGGAGGAGGAGGACAAGGAGGAGGAGGAGGAGGAGGAGGGAGGAGAAAGGATGAGGACGACGAGGAGGAGGGCGAACGCCTCATCCACCCACAGGGGGCACCTCGCCCCCCCTCCCTCCCTACGCCCCGACCTGACGCGCCCGGGCGCGGGCCTCGAACTACTCGAGGTTGCGCCCTCGTACCAGGCCCTGCCAGGCTGGGAGCAGGGGGGGGGAGAGATCGGATCGGATGCCGACGAGAAACCCAGACCTCCAACGTATCGGAAAAACTCGAAACGGAATTTTTCGCCGTCTTCTGCCTTCGGGAGCCCTCGCTGGGCCCCAAGACAATCCAAAAACGACTCAGGATGAGAAGCTGCTCCCGGGGAAGGGGACAAGACTGCAAGGGACCGCGTCTTAAAGTTATCCTGACGACGAGGCCAACTATATGCAGTTGTGGGTATCGCCGTTGTGGGTATCGCCTTCGGTGGATCTGGTGGATCTCTTTATGGGGCTACGAGGCGTGTAAAGGGTGTGCCGAAATGAAGCGGGGACGCATGCGGGCGCAACCCACGGGTCATCCGGTGGCGCTCCATATGGGGCCACGAAACGTGTGAGGGGTGTGCCGAAATGGAGCGGGGCCGCCATGCGAACGTTGCCACTGGGGCGTTCGGCGGAGCTCCCTATGGGCCCTACGGGGCCACGAAGCGCTGTACTGAACGGGGGGGAACGCATGCGAACACCGCCACTGGGGCCTTCGGTGGAGGAGCTCCCTATGGGGCCACGAAGCGTTGTACTGGGCGGGAGAGATGCATGCAAACACAGCCGCTGAGGTCTTTGGTGGAGCACTTTGTGGGGCCACGAAACGTTGTACTGGGTGGACGAGACGCATGCGAACGCCGCCACTGGACCCTTCGGTGGAGCTCCCTATGGGGCCACGAAGCGCTGTGCTGGGGGGGGGTACGCATGCGGACACCGCCACTGGGGGCTTCGGTGGAGCTCCCTATGGGGCCACGAAGCGTTGTACTGGGTCGGGGAGATGCATGTGAACACCGCCGCTGAGGCCTTGGGTGGGGCTCCCTGTGGGGTCACGAAGCGTTGTATGAGTGGGGGAAACGCATTCGGACACCGGGCCTTCGGTGGAGCTCCCTATGTTGCCGCGAAACGCTGTACTGTGGGAGAAACGCATGCGGATACCGCCACGGGGGCCTTCGGTGGAGCTCCTTGTGGGGCCGCGAAACGCTGTAGTGGGTGGGGGAAACGCATGCGGACACCGCCACTAGGGCCTGCGGTGGAGCTCCCCATGGGGGCACGAAACGCTGTACTTGGTGGGGGCAAACGCAAGCGGGCACCGCCAGTAGGGCCTTCGGTGGAGCCCCATATGAGGCCACGAAACGCTGTACTGGGTGGGGGAAACGCATGCGAACCGTGCCCCTGTGGCCTTGGGTGGAGTTCCTTGTGCGGCCACGAAACGTGTGAGGGGGGGCCAAAGTGGACAGGAGGCGGCATGTGAACGCAGCCCCTGGGGCCTTGGGTGGAGTTCCCTATGAGGCCAGGAAACGTGTGAGGGGGGGGCCAAAGTGGACAGGAGGCGGCATGTGAACGCAGCCACTGGGGCCTTGGGTGGAGCCCCCATATGGAGCCACGAAACGTGTGAGGGGTGTGCCAAAGTGAAGGGGTGACGGGAGGAGGGGGAGGAGGAGGAGAGGAGGGGAGGAGGAGGGGACGTGGGGACCGTCTCTTCAAAGCGAGGACCCAACACCACAGGATGGTTGGGAAAAACAAAACATCGGATAGGAGGGAGCCAACGGGCGAGCGGCCTGACGCCCACTCGTTGCTGGGAGCGGATGGTGAAACGTGCGGTGCGTAGGACTCGGGTGTCGAACAGACATCGTGAACTCTCCTCTCGCCGCGAGACCGACCGCCCCGAGGTGGGGCTCGGGCGGGGAGCCGAGGAGCTGGAGAGGGGGACCGGCTGTCCACGAGAGAAGGGTGAAGCCTCTGCTGCCGCGCGAGCGCCAAACCCATGCGGGCCCGACGGTCGAGGGGAGCCCCTGAAAGGGGCCAGGAGAGGCTCAGGGATCCAAGCCCCGAGGACATGTCCAAGACAGGAGGGAGAGAAGGGAGAGAAGGGAATCCCCAGATCTCTGGCGAGATTGTTTCTCAACGGGCGGTTTCTCCTCGATGTCGGTCCTCGGGGGCCATTACAGGGCACGAGGACCACCAAAAATGCAGCCACGACGAGAAACGACGGCCCTGGAGAAACGGTCGGAACTTCCGGAGCCGCGGAATTTGCAACAGACATTTTTTTCCACGATTTCGGCATTCGAGGGCCACACAGGGGCCCTGGGACCATCAAAAACGAGTCCAAGACGAAAATCTTGGGGAAGGGGTCGGGACCTTTGAAACCAAAGATTCGGGAAAAAACGCATGGTCGGATGTCTGGGGTCGTCGCCGTCGTTCCCGTCGTCGTCATCGTCGCCGCCGTCGGCATGGTCGGTCGGCATCACAGGAAAGGACCAGGAGATCCTGGCGTTGCCATTTTTCCACATCATGTTATTCAGCGCTGCCATTTACAGTATGCATATCGTGCGACATGCTCATGCGCTGGTGAAACTGTAGTTTTTGATCAATCCACTGGTACTTTCGGATGCTATATCTATATCTATATATGTATGTATGTATGTATGTATGTATGTATGTATGTAAGTATGTATGTTTGTGTATATATATAAATCACCCACTGGCAATTCAACAACAGCCATCAGAAAACGACAGCCACCGACCAAACCCACATCCAACTGCAATTCAACAACACCCAACAACACCCAACAACTAATCATAGCGAATCCCTGGTGAGCCCCAATGGCGGTGTGACGGCTGTAAAAGAAGGGCAGGAGATGACGGAGATACCTGCTTTACGGGTGGCGTATCCGGGGGCCGTGGCTCAGGGCCCCTGCCACTCCCAGAAACTTGATGCCCCAGGGTGGTGGGCGGGTTGTTTAACAGCGGCCGAGAGCCTGGGCCCAAATGGCCACAGACGTCGGGCAGGAATGAGGATACACTTGCGTGTTGGTGCACGGGGGCACATCTTCGATGAGTCGCATTAGCGCTGCGATGGCAGAAAAACAAGGGCAAGCAATGACGGAGATAATTCTAATAAATTACGGGTGGCAGATCCGGGGGCCCTGGCTCAAGGCACTTGCCGCTCCCAAGGGCTCGATGACCCCCGTGCGATGGGAGTGAGGCGCCAGGAGGGAAAGGAAACCCGGAGGTGAGGAGGCGGATCCCAGGCCCCACCCCCAAGACGCTGCGAAGGTCGGGTGGGTCCATCCCCTTTCAGCGTGGACCTCACTCTTTGCCTGGGCCCCCTTTGCCAGACCCCGCCTGGAGGGCCGCCCGCCCCCTAGCGGAGAGCCAAGCCAAGGCGAGGCGGGGCCACCTTGGCCAAGAGGGGGGGCGGCCGCCACACCTCGCTCGTTCACTGCCGATTCTTCCGCCACCAGCGCCTCCGCGCGCACCGCGCCGCATGCGCAAGAGCGTAGCGCGGGCGCGGTCCTGAAGCCCGACCCGCCCTGCATAGGGCCCATCGCGATCGAGGCGCCCCTCCCGCCCAGGATTCCCCCGCCCGCAGCGGAGGGATGGGGTCCACGGGCAGGCAGGGGACTCCCGCCGTGGCGGCGCCCACTGGAGTGTGGGGGTTCAAAACTATCCCAGGGCGCGCAGTCGGGCCCCCGCCCCGACGGGTCGCGCGGGGCCCCGACGCTGCCGATGCCCTTCGCAATCCAGCTCCGCGTGTGCGACGCCGCGGCCGGACCCCCGCTCCGAAAGGGTTGCATGGGGCCCCAACGCTGCTAACACTCGTCACAATCCGGTTCCGCCTGTACGACGTCTTCTGGAGCGTACCCGATCGGAGCTTTCAATCGCAAACGTCGCCCGCGGTGCTCGCAGTCGCCTCTCGAGGCGGGCGCCCTCCCCTCGGCGGCCACCTTCTCCTCTACGATCACGTCGAAGAGCTCATGGGAGGCCTTCGTCATCTCGTCGTGCACGTGCCACTTCAGGCCCCCTGCCGCCACGTGGATCCTCAGGCTCGTCAAAGTCCGTCGTCTTCGCGTTGCCGAAGTTGTGTGCCTCCTGGTTCTCCTCGCGCGGGAGCCAATCCATCCCCGGCGCCATCTTGCGCGACCTCAACTCCTTCCCCAAATTGTCATTTGATCCCGCCATCTTGAGGCTCGCCCTTTGGAGGAGCTTCCCGGGCCTCGCGAGCAGCTTCGCGTGGAAGATTGTGCCGAGGGGCCCAGCGCTGCGATGGCCCTGTTCGGGTCGTTCGCCGTGGCCCACGCCCATATCAACCAGGCTTTCCCCGCCTCCAGCACGTGCCAGCGGGCTCCTCGGGTGCTGCCGTCCGGTGGTGCTTCCCAGCCGCATGTCCCGCGCCGCCCCGCCTCTGCCTTCGCGTCGAAGCGGAAATGCCCGGCGCTCTCGGTCTTCCATTTGATTGGCGCTTCCAGCCTTTGCCCCCCTGCCAGCCGCTGGCCGATCCACGTCAGCACGAGTCTGGTCGCCCAAAACAGGGGAACCCATTTCTTGTCCGTCCTTGCGACGCCTGCAAGCCAGCCGCACGCGGGCCCCAGGAGCGGCCTCTCCCAGATGAGAACCATCGCTGAGAAGTCCAGGCGCCCCACGCCCGACGACGTCTCGGCCGCGCGGATGGCGCCGCGCCCGACCGTCTTGAAGCGCCAGTCTGCCACCCACCTTGCCCTCGCCTCCGAACGGCCCATGCTGTAGGTGACGTAGTCGCATCGGAGGCCGACCCAATCCACCTCGAGGCCGCCCCGCACCATGGCCCTCTGCGCCAAGAAGCCGAAGACGCCGAGGACGATGGCCACGAGGAGGGCGGTCAACCTTCCACGGCGCCCTATGCCGATCGCCTCCAGGTCGTCGGCGTAGGCGAGCTGTTCCACGGGCCAATCGCTGCGCAGCAAGCAGAAAGTCGCCCGCAGCACGGCGTCGAGCAGCCTGGCCCACCACTCCGAGGCGCTGGAGATACCAGAGGTGCCGACGGTGTTGCAGTAGATCCCGCCCCCGAACTGGCAGGCTAACATGCCACGCTCGTCCTTGCCGAACTTGACGAACGGATGCGCGCCCGTGACGTCGGTGACGAGCGAGAAGATGACTTCGTGTTGGTCCCTGAAATAACTCAAAATGTAATTATTCTTCGCGGGCCTCGGCATCCTTTGGCGGCTCCTGCATCTGATCCGGTTGTTCACGGCGACCTCGCGCGTGCAATCGTGCACGGGCCGCTTCTTGCCGCTCGTGCTCTCTAGGACCGCCAACGCTGCTATGGCGTGGTTGCCGTGGCAGCGGCTGCGCAACTGTTCCTTGGATATCTGGACAATTCTTCCCGACTTCACCTAGTCCGCCAAGTGTTCCTGGAGCCAGTCGCCGTGGTCCTCCACGCTGCTGTAGTTGGCTGATTCTGGGGCGGCCCGTCAGGCCGCCTCCTTGTCGAGGCGCCACTTCGCGAGCTCCTCGAAGAGCACGTCCTGCCGGGGCATCTCGTACAGGATACCCGCAGTGACCCCTGTCTCCAGTTCCTTCATCAAGTCTGCTTCAGGCTGCCCTGCTTCGAGCAGGAGTGCGGCCAGCAGGCGGGGGTGGATGGGCTGCCCTGCTGCGACACATTTCAGGTCGTCACCGCGGCCTGCTCGGCCGTTTGCTCCAAGCCAACCGTCGAGGACCCTTCTGGCTGCCTCGTGGATCTCCTTCTTCACAAGGTCTGATGGCTCGCTCGGAACGGTCCCGACCGGGTGCGCCCGCCGCCAGCGGGCGTGGCGCCCGATGCGTGCCGACCCCTACGAGTAGGAAGTGGAGGCGACAGTAAAGAGGGGAGGGATCAGGAAAAAGAGCTGTGTCGATGCTGGGTTCCGACGCAGCTGAGTAAATGCCACCACGGCCGCCACGGCACTGACCTGCCCAATCGGGTGTGGAATTGCCGCTTCAGGGCCACGAGTAACCAGGTCAGTGCCCAGGCCTCACGGGCCGTTCGGGCATCGCCTGAAAGGACTCGGCCGAACCAGACGCTGACCAGACTCCCTCTCTGACCCCGATAGACGGAAAACGGTAACGAGAAAAGATGAAGGAACGACCATCTCGTTCAGGAGGAAGTGCCAATCGAAAGACAACCTGGGCCATCCCTCCAGCAAACGCCAACCAACCCTCCGACTAAGCCAGGCCAGCCCTCCGGGCAAACTTTGGTTACGGTAGCCCATCCCATGCGATACGATAAGGAAGAGGGATGTATAAGAGATGCGAGCAAGTAGGAAGGGCCATGACTGATGATGTTGTTGTTGATGGTGGTGATGCGAATGCAAAGACACTGATAATGGCAATGCCACTGACAATGATCATGATCATGCTAGTGGCGATGATGATGATGCTGATGATGAGGATGCTGATAATGCTGATAATAACGATGATGTTGATGGTGGCATTGATGATGATGATGATGATGATGATGACGATGACGATGGTGGTGACGATGATGAGTATGATGTTGTTGGTGTTGATGATGCTTATGATGATGGACATGATGGCCATGAAGATGAGGATGGTGATAACGATGACGGTCATGGTGATACTGATGGTGATGATGATGACGGTGATAATGATGATTGTGATTACGATGATGATGATGATGATGATGATGATGATGATGATGATGACGACGATGATGATGATGATGATGATGATGATGATGATGATGATGATGATGATGGTGGTATTGATGGTGGCGGTGACAATGATGATGACGACGATGATGACGATAATCACTACGATGACGATGATAAACAACATAACGATGACGATGGCGATACTAGCGATGATGACACTCAAGATATGGAAGGTGATGGCGACCGTGATAAACATGATGATGAACATGACTATGATTACGATGATGATGAGTCCTCCGCATCAGAGGAACATAATGATTCACATACGGATCGCATACTCCTACGATGTCCTGTTCGCTTCCGACGCCCTCCGTCGACCAGCTGGCGAGTCCGCCGCTGTTTTTCTTTCACTGGCCTTCCGTCGAAGGCGAAATACGCCGACTCCAGGCGAGGCCCTCATTGAAGCGCCCCACGTGCCAATGCGTCGGGCCCTCGGGCTGGAGACCCCGAGGGCTCCGGAAGTCCCCGCGGCGAAGCGGCCGTTCTGGACCCTCCCCCCTCTGGACCGAGCGGAGGTCCTCCTCCTCCTCCTCCTCCTCCTCCTCCTCCTCTCCTCCTCCTCCACCTCCTTCTTCTCCTCCTCCTCCTCCTCCTCCTCCTCCTGGGCCTCTCGCAGTACTCGGCAAAGTTGTACTGCTCGCCGTCGACAACCAGCGTTGCCCGCGGCGCGTCCAGCAGCATCTGCTCGCTCACGAGCCTGTGGGCAGGCGCAGGAGCCAACAGGGACCGAGGCTCGCCTCCTGTGGGGATGGGCGGGGCTCCCCTTCACCTCCCCAGATATCTGGCGATGATTTGTTGTTCAACTGGCAAGCTTTCTCTCGATGTCAGCCCTCGGGGGCGACTGTCGGGCCCCAGCACCAGCAGGACTGATCCGAGACGGAAACCAGCCCTGGTCCCCTGGAGAATGGGTCGGGACCTCTGCAGCCGCGGACTAACAACAAAAAAAAACAGATCGTCGGATGTATTGGTCTGTCTCCCGTTCCCTCTCTTTGTCTACTGCGGGGCGTGGTAAAATTTGGTGCCCCTGGATGAATAAAGTTCCCCGGCGAGGGGGTTGAGGACGACGTTTCTGTGACCCCAGCCAGGCTTCTTGGCGCATCCAGGCAAAAGCCAACGACAAGGCCCCCCACCCCCACACCCAGGCAAAGGGCAACGACCGCCCCCCTCCCCCCCCCCTCCCGAGAAAGCTTGCAAACATGCAATCGGACGCGGCGGCCCCAGCTGTTTCTCTGGCTCTGGCGGCGCTGAGATGTCCTGGAGAGGAGGAGACAGGGGAATGGGGAGGGAATGGAACGGGGGGGGGAGGGGGGGGGGAGCGGGACAGAACGGGAGGAGGAGATAGCCGAATCTCGTGGTCCGCGTGGCGTTGCGTGCTCCCTGAGAGCCCGCCCTTGGCGAACGAGTCCCTGTTCCGGCGCTCTGCCTCGCAAGGGGGGGGGCGGCAGAGACCAGCGCACGCGTGCGGTGACACATGGACGAAGCGAGGGGCGAGTCGGACCTCCTCGTCCTTCTCTATCCCTCCCTCCTCGTTCAGGCCCGCTGCCGCCTCCGCGGCGCACTGCGGCGACGACGTCCAATAAAGACGACGGCGGCGGCGGCGACGCCCACGGAGACGAGGACGATCGAAGATCGGCGTCGACTGACGGTCGTCGACAACGGCGACGAAGATCGACGATGACGACGTCGACGACGGTCGACGACTGACTATTGTCGACGACGACGAATCATGATCGACGATCGACGTTCGAGGACCGAGGACGACGACGACTCCCAGCGGCGGCGGTCTCCTCTGGCAGCTGCAGGTCCTCCAGGTCCATGTCCAGGTAGTGCTGCACGGCCACGAGGTCGTGCAGGGCGACGTCACCGCACCTCCCTCATCGGCTGCATGCAAGAGTGACCCCAGGCAAGAGCGACCTTTGGTACGCGGCTCTAGGGGGCCGCAGGACGGCAAATCCAAGCGTGCAGGCCAGTGCTGGGGGGACCCCTGTGGGCCTGCACCAGAGGTCACATCGGCGAAAGGTCACCCTTATGCGTAGCGGACCTCATCTGATCGCGCACTTTGGAAGAACATGGAGTGCACTCTCCCCAACATGCCCTCCTCGTGACAAAATCACGACGTAAGGATTTAAGCCGTTTCTGCCTTCGAGGACCCTTGCTGGGCCCTGGGACCATCAAACAACAGCTCGGGGAAACAACCAGCCCCGGAGAAAGGGTCGGTGCTTCCAGGGACCGCTATTGAAAAGTCAAAACATCGCATTTCTGGGTCATCAACTGAAGCGCCCCTGCGCACCCGCCGTTCCCTACACGGCAGGCCCTTCGGGCGACATAAACATCTGTCCTGTCCTGTCGCCCCCCCTACACTCTGGAGGCTTGCGAAACAAAATGTATAGGCAACGAGATCGGGGAGGGCTGACGCGAGCCTGGCTAACACAAGGATCTGTATCCGCCACCGTGCCACGAGGCGCGAATTGACGTGTCTCTCATGTCCGTTCGAGCTCTCTGCGCTGAGTACAAAGGGCCCCAATAAGCCCCAGAAAGGCCTGCCAGGAGGCCCCGAGTCTCACGAGGCTGGCCAAGGGACCCCGATATGCCACTAAGAGGCCACTGGTGCACGAACCAGGCAAGGTGGCGGAACATGCTGATCGCCACAATGTAGATATAACAACCCACTACACACGACTCAAGAGACACCCTGCGCTGGCGCATCACGCAGAAAAGCCTGACAACCTGATCGTCTCCCCCAGACCTCGACCCGCTGTCATTCTTGCCAAGACGTGCAAGAACTCGATCTCGCGTCCACCTGACCAGTCGCAGGGCTGCCCTGGACCCCTGGACCCGCGGTGTGAAATAAGCAGGGTCATCTACGGTCTGGAACTTTTGCTTAGCGCGTCGCGGCGGCGACCCCGGCGACACGCTTTGCCCTGCCAGCGGATAGCGTGTCGCTCCGCTCCGCGGGGCGGGAGGCCTCGAAAGGCTCGGGGCGTTGACGCCTGGCGACTGGGACGTGGTCAGCGGGTCGCGCCGGGGTGTTGCGGGCCAGAACCCGTGGCGCGACACTCCAACCAAAAGTTCCCGATTCTTTGTCGGGCGGGCTCTCAAGACAAGGTAAGCATGCAGCGTATACGACGTTGGAAGAGGGGCCAGGAAGGACGAAAGAGGAAGGGTGGTACCGCGGGTTCGTGTCGCGCCGACCCTGGCGTGGGTTCCTGACACCTCGGGGATCGTTCAACCTTGAACGATCGGCCGTTTCCGAAATCTCAGATCGTTCAACATCGACCGATTCGGGGTCGCCAGTGGCGTCCAACGTGGAACGCTGGCGGCGGAGTCGCCGCCAGTCGACACGACGCAAACCTACCGTACAGGCCCAAGCGCAGGCTGGGGCTTTGGGGCATGAGGCTCATGCTGTTTCCTCCCAAGCAGCTGCAGCGGAAGCAGCTCGCCGTGGGCTCTCTGCGCGGGGCCGAGGTGGTCCAGGTGTGCAAGACATGAGCACAGCACCCGGCATGGCCGGACGCGTCACCACCGACGATGGAGGTGAGCACCACCTCACGCGACCGTTCCGGGACAGAGTGACGCGACGAGCAGATGTTTTATTGGATGTCTCGCCGATCAGCGCGACCCGCGGCTCCGCAGGAGCCGCGGGCAGGAGGAGCGGGAGGAGCCGGGGGGACGGGAGCAGCAAGGACCTGGGAAGCGGGAGGATTGAGCATGTCCTATAGGCCTACCACAACATGCTCCCAGAACAGAAAAAGGCTCGAATTGAAAGCCAATGTTCCCAAAACGTGAAACGAATGGATTCTCGCAAGCCCCAACATGTTGTTACAACATTCTCTGGTGGGCACGGCGGCAGGTCAGGGCGCTTCGCTACTGCGTGAGAGGAGGAGGAGGAGGAGGAGGAGGAGGAGGAGGAGGAGGAGGAGGAGGAGAGGGGGAGGAGGAGGAGGAGGAGGGGGAGGAGGAGGAGGCGGAGGAGGAGGAGGAGGAGGAGGGAGGAGGGGGAGGAGGGGGTAGGACGCACGGCCCTTTCGGACGGGCGCAGACGCCCAACCCCGCTTGGACTGCTCTCCGGCCCCGCGAGCCGGGCGCCGCCCGTGCACAGGCGCGGGCAGGCACCCAACTGGTTGCGAGGGCTGCGAGGGGAGGGGCGCAGGAGGGGGGGGGGGACGGGGATCTTTTTGCAGGGTGGGGGGTCCCTAGAACAGAGCTCAAGAGGCTCGGGGGTGCCGGGGCGGGGGGGGGGGGGACGGCGAGCTTTTTGCAGGGTGGGGGGTGCCTAGAACAGAGCTCAAGAGGCTTGGGGGTGCCGGGGCGGGTCGACCGGCAACCACGTTTTGGGTGGACGTCAACGGAGAACGGAGCGGCCAATCATCCGTCCGGCGGGACGGCTCCGTAGTGCGCTTCGCGCACGGAGAGGCCGTACATGTGCGCGGTAATGTGAGACCGTGAAACATTGAAACCTCAGACGGAGGACACACGCACGAAGGCAGAGAGGGACGCACGACGCGCGTCTTGGATGGACATCATCGGATCAGAACAACCAGAGGATCTCTGAGATCCGGGGCCGTTCTGGAGAACGAGTCGGGCGCCGCGGCCGTTCCAGATCGCTCTGGAAAGCTCTGAGAGCATTCCGGCAGGCTCTGGAGTCATCTATCCCGATCCTGTGCCTCGGATGACGGAGCGGGCCCGCCCCGCCCAATCCCGGTTGGCCGAGAGACGAGGCGACTCTCTCCTCCGACGGTGCGGTCTTGCTCGTGACGCCCGCCACCCCACCCCCCCGGGGACCTCGACCCTTCCCCCAACATGAACGTCCATCCCAATTCCTGTGCCCAGATCGTCCGATACCGAAAACTGGCGGTAACGCGTTGGACGAACTGATCGCAACTGAAACTCGACGTTCGGCCTCTGGTCGCGAATTCTGGTAAAATGAACGAGCCGTCGACACCTTCAAAGCCCTCACATGGACCCCGACGCGCCGTCTCTCTGTTACTGGCATTATTCCCCCTGTGGTCGCGACCGAAGTCTGGCGCGACCGAAAACCGTTACCAACAAAAATCAGCTCGCGGATGATCTTTGGACGGCCCCGCGAGGCCCGGGAGCGCGGCCCCCCTTGGAGGCCGAGTTAACGACAACGAAGGGTAGGTCTTGGAATACCTTGTGGGACCTGCTCCAGGACAGGAACATAGAGTAGACGGATCTGCTCTTTCTCCGACCTCGCACCGCGCCAAACGCAACCGCCGCATTGTCCACTGACGTATCCACCCCGAATGCGTCTATTCACGTAACGACACCCAATGTGTCTAGAAACGCTTGTGGCTAGAAAGTGAGAGCGGCATTTGGCATATATGCACACAGGCCCCAGATACTGGTCTTCTAAAGGCAGGTCGCCACGACTCTTCTTCTTTGCGACGCCGGGATCAGCGGGGAGGGGCAGGAGCGAGGAAAGCTGGCTTCACCACCATTAGAGGCGTGCCCAAGATGGGGGCGTTCAAGAGGGGGGTCCGCAACTCGCGCCCCGAGGCATGTGCGCGGACGAGGGGCGGGCCAAGCGGCCAAGGAACGCGCCGAACACGGAAGAGGGTGCCATGAGATTTGGGAGGTGCCATGGCCCCCGCCATGGTACGGTCGGGAACTTGTTCTCAGCGTGTCGCGGCGGCGGCCCTAGCAACACGCTACGCCCTGCCAGCAGATAGCGTGTCGCTCCGCTCCGTGGGGCGGGAGGCTCGGACAGGCTCGGGACACCGGCGCTTGGAGATCGTGAGCGGTCAGCGTGTCGCGCCGAAGCGTGGTGGGCCAGAACCGGCGGAGCGACACGCGAAGCCGCAGCTCCTGACCGTGCCAGGGCCCCCCTCCACATCCTGTCCCCCCAGTCCTCGCCCCACTCTCTTGGACGCCCCCGACAGGAGCGGGGAGACCCCACCACCACCGCCAGGGGCAGGGCACAGGCCGGGCGCAGCCCTCCATGTGGTGCGGGCCCCCCCCGCGCCATGCGGCGTCCCTGGCCCCTGGGCGCGCACCGTGGGCCTCGCCCTCTCACCCCGGGGTGGCCCCTCGCAAGGGGGTGGCGCCGCACCTCGGCCCGCACGGCGAGGGGGAGGCCAAAGCTGGCAGGGGCAGCAGCGGCGCCCAGAGGGGCCCCCCTTCTTCACGCTGCACGCCCCGGAGAGTCCTCGTCGCCAAGGCCGGGTTCTCCCGGGAATTCGGGTCGGAGCGCACCCAGGGAGAGGTCTGGGGAGGCCCGACATCCGCCGATCCGTCTCTCCAATCCGCGGCCCCAGAAGTCCCGACTGCTTCCCCGGGCGTGCATTTTCGGGGCATTCTCGTCCAAGATCTGTTTTTGATGGCCCTGGGGCCCGATCAGGGCACCCGAGGCCGAAATCGAGGGAGAACAAAACGCTGGTGGGAAAAAAGAGAGCGTCGGACATCTAGGAGTAGCGGTATCGCTACATTTTTGCTCAGAGACTCAAGACCCTCTCTCCTCTGACGCCAGATCCGCCTTTGGCAGATTTCCCGATTGAGACGTATACCGAAAATGCATCCCAATCGAAGAGACAAAGTAGGACGGCAATTTCCGCTTCGGAAAATCCGCCGGCCCCCTTATGGGGACCACCAGGCTGTAGGACCAGGGTTTGCTGTTCCCTGCATCAGTTCCGGTTTCCAGTTTCCACTGTTACAGTTCTGCTTTATGCTGCTTACTGACTGTTCCTTGTTGTAAACCGCGGGAGGGGGGGGGAGCCGAAAACTGGTTAGCACCTCCTGGGAGGGTTCTCAGAATTTCTGGGGGGGTCGAAATTGACTCCCCTCGCGCAGATCGGCGGGGTCAGGGTCGAAAAACGAATGGGATTTGCCACATTTCTGGAATTCGGCTGCATCCCTCACGCAGATCGGCGGGGTCAGGGTCGAAAAACCAATGGGATTTGCCACATTTCTGAAATTCGGCGGCACCCCTCACGCAGATCGCTGGGGTCAGGGTCGAAACACTAATGGGATTTGCCACATTTCTAAAATTCGGTGGCCTCCCTCATGCAGATCGCCGGGGTCAGAATGCAAAAACCAATGGGATTTGCCACATTTCTAAAATCCGGTGGCACCCCTCACGCAGATCGCCAGGGTCAGGGTCGAAACACCTACGAGATTTCCACAATTTCTTTATTCCGGTGGCAACCCTCGCGCAGATCGTCAGCGTCAGGGTCGAAAAACTAATGGGGTTTGCCATATTTCTAAAATTTGGCGGCTCCCCTCACGCAGATCGCCGGGATCAGGGTTGAAAAACCCATGGGATTTGCCACATTTCTGAAATTCGGCGGCACCCCTCACGCAGATCGCCGGGGTCAGTTGAAAAACACATGGGATTTGCCACGTCTTCAAATTCGGCGGCCTCCCTCACGCAGATCGGCGGGGTCAGGGTCCAAAAGCACAAGTGACTTGCCACATTTCAATACTTCGTAGAAAAGCTTTTTGCACAGCATACGCGAGCAAGCTCGAAATGCAACACCGAATTCAACAATATCACAATAATCTAAATGTGTCTTGCCGATTACTCATCGTCTTCGCGTGAAGTCTCGACGCTGCTTCACGGCGGCGCCAAGGCCTCATGATTTCGCTCTTGCATTGCCCATGATCCGAGAGAGGGGGCCGGCGGCAGGGGGCGAAGCCCTTACTGATAAGATAACAATTTTCGCAAAGGCATGGCAAAAACAGCGACGGCAAAGCAAGGCGGACATCGGCATCAAAGGACCTTGAACAGCAGGGCAACACTTCCCGCCCTACTTACGAGATCGCCCAAATTACGGCAGGTCTGGAGTCAGGGTAGATCACCACGGACCATATTGGGCAGGTTTTCTCCGGGGGCAATCGCTGGGCCCCGGGACCGTCAGCAAAACGACCCGCAGGTGAAATGCCAGTCCTGGGGAAGGGGTCCGGACCTCTGGGGGTCGACGCTGCGAGAGAAGTCGCGGCGTCGCAGCTTTTCGTATCGGGTCGGACGCAGAAGGTGGGGCAGGGACATCGGGGGCGCGCAGACATGGATCGGGGGCGGTGCCCTCCCCAAAAATGCGGCCGGTGCCGCCTCGTTCGGCGGCGGAAATCCGCGATTCCCCGTGAAAGCGGGGCCCGTCGCTGCTCCACGCCCCCTTGATGCATGTCTGCGATCGCCTGAGGACGGGGTGAGTTGCGAGATCTGCTGCGCGGACTTGGAGTCAGGGCCCTCTCCGCGCCTCCTCGGGCCAGCCAGCCACGCGCGGTGCCTCGCGCGGGCGGGGGCGTGCCGCCTCGCTCTCCCGCGCGGCCTGCGCTGCTGCGCCCCGCTGCGTGCCCCTCCCTGCCTGCCTGCCTGCCTGCCTGCCTGCCTGCCTGCCCGCTCGCGCCCCTCGGTCCTCGCTCCTCCCCCCCCCTGCCGCGCCTCCACGAGCAAGCAGCACGAATGCTGCCCTGCCTCCTCCACTGCAGCTGTCCAGAAGATCTCCCGCCTCCTCCGCGTGCTGTTTCTTCACACGCGGGATTTCAAACAGCTGCTTCCCCCGATGACTTTTTACACGCCGACTGTCTTCGGTACTGCAAAATGGTGATCCCGCTGCAGCATGGGCCTCATTTTCGGATCGGCGCTTTGCTCCCGTCGTTCAGGATGGCGCTCTCGCCCCAGGGCGGGCCACATTTCTGGATCCGAGTCTTGCTTCATTGTGGTCCCCCTCATTTCCCCTCCTCCGCCTTCCCCTGGTCCTCTTGCTCCTCCCGCCCCTTCTACTCCGGTTCCTGCCGCTGCTGTTCGTCTCGCCCCAGCGCGGGCCACTTTTCTGAATCCGAGTCTTTCTCCATCGTTGTCCCCCCCATCATTTCCCCTCCTCCGCCTTCCCCTGGTCCTCCTTTTCCTCCCGATCCGTCCGGTCCTGTTGTTGCTGTTCGTCATCATCCTTTTTCCTCCCGTTCATCCTCCTCCTGCGCACGCAGCTCACCTCCTCCTCCTCCTGCGCGCGCAGCTCCCTGTTCGCCCGCCACCCCCTCCTCCTGCTCACGCAGCTCCCCTCTTTCCGAAGAAGCATAATGCGAAGTGGTCTTTCTGTGGAAGTCGCAGGTCGGCCATTACACGCGTCCGCGGATAGACAATCAACGCACTTGGAAGGGATGGGAAGGAGGGAGTGGATGCCCGCACATAGCTGCTAGCTTGTCCAACCCCCTCTCCCCCTCCCTGTCCCCGCCCCTGGTTCCCTGCTCCTCGTCCTCCCCCCCAGTATCCAGCCCTGCGATCCCCGTGATCTTCTGGCGCAGCCGTCCACCTCCCGAAAGCCACACTGCGCGCTGGGAGAAGGGGCGACGGGCGGGAGGCCAGGACACCTTCCACCTCCCCCCTCCTCCTGTTTTTCCTCCTCCTCCTCCTCCTCCTCCTCCTCCTCCTCCTCTTCCTCCTCCTCCTGAAAGCCTGCGACACGGGAGGACACCAGCCGAGGAGGTGGGGGAGGCGAGGAGGAGAGGCGGGTAGCAGGCGCGACAAGGAGAGGAGAAGCAGGCGGGGGGAGCCCCAGCAGTCTGACGACCCCCCAGGGCGCTGCCTCCCCAGAGTGGAGGGCACGGCGCGAAAGCGAACCCGACCAGCGCCTGATGACTGTGTGCCAGCCTGGCAGGCCCAGGTTCCTCCATGGCGGCGCATCTGGGGGGAGGGGGCGCTGGAGGGGTCGTCGGGGAGCCAGAGCTCGCTGTTTATTCTGGCGTGCTCGGAGTCTTCCGACTTCACAACGTGTCGGTCGGACATGCACACCAAACGGTCCGAAAAGGTAAGGCGGAAACAGCGACGGCAGAGCAGGGCGCAAATCGGCATCAAAGGAGCTTGAAAACAAGGGTGGGAATTTCCGCCCTACTTGCGAAATCGCCCAAAGCGCAGCGGATCCAGAGTCAGGGTAGATCACAACGGACGGCTTCGGGCCAGTTTCGGCCTCCGCGGGCCCTTGCTGGGCCCCGGGACAGTCCACAAATCGACTTCGACAGCAGGGCGAACTTTCCACCCTGCTTGCGAAATTGCCCAGCGTAGGGCGGCTCCAGAACCAGGGCAGGCGAGAGCGGCGCGCGGCGCACTCGCCGGAGGCGCACTCGCCAGAGGGGGTAGGGCAGGATCGGTCAGCCTCGAACGGGGAAGGCGGATCGAGCCGAAGTGCGCGTCGGATCGGCCCGCATCGGCACGGGGCAGGAGCCGAATCGGACCGGCCGCGCCAGGATGCACAACAGCGCCATGCAGGCATCGGGCAAGATCGGGTCGTCGGAATATCGGGATCGAACCGCATCGGGCCGGCCGACATCGATGTCGAATCAGATCGATCGGATCGACGTGGACCCTGGACTCTGGAGGAAGGGAGAGAGAGAGAGAGAGGGAGACATAAGGAGAGAGAGAGAGAGAGACAGGTACGTAACTAAATGTTTTGAGTGATGTCTGAACGGGGCCAAATCAATATGACACGACGCGTGCTGCCAATCGGAAATCGGACTACCGGTATGGCGAGGTGGGAGGATGTGAGAGTAGAGAAGTTGGAGAAAGAGCAACAGAAGGAAGAGGACAACAGAGGGCAACGAGGCCTCCGCTCCCCATCCCCCGTCCGCCTCTCGTTCGTTCTCCTCCTTCTCCCGCTGCGACTCTACGTCCTGCTTCCTCCATCTCCTCCACTGCACTGTAGAGCTCAACATGTGACCACTACTGGGACGCGGACTCCACGGGTGGCGTAGGCTTGCGCAACAAGCACAGGGCCATCCAGCACTGGAGCTTCGAGGCGCGGAGAGAGGACAGGACGTGAACAATCGCCCAACACCGAAGGGCTTGGAAGCCTCCAGGCCCCCCAGTGGGGGCCTGGTGACGGGTATCAGAACGAACAAAGGGGGGTGCCTCCGCTAGTCATGGAACTTGGCAACGGTGGTGTGCGCTCGAGCACCTGACACGCCCGAGTATGACCAACATCGCCGAGATCGGGATCATCCTCCCTATGTGGAGCTTCTGCGATACTGGCGTTGGTGCCAATCTCTGTAGAGGCCTCCCAGATTTGGTCCGAGAGGATGGAGTCGGAGGATCGCGCCGCATCAGCGGTGCATCAGTGATGCATCGGTGATGCATCGGCGACGTCGGCGGTGCACCAGCGGCGTCGGCATGGAGAAGATCAGGCTCCACATCGAGACGAAACAGCGATGCATCGGCGATGCGGCGCGATCCTCCGACGACCTCTGCTCGGACCCCGTCTTGGACGCCCAGATTCCAGGCCTCCGACTCCTGGCATAGGGCGACGACATCTATACATTTCCACTGCCTCAGGCCTGGCCCATCCTGGGCCCAGCAGCGTTGCTGCACCGCTCTTGGGCCCAAGACTGGCCAGGCCTGGAGCAGTGGATGTGTATAGATCTCTTGCTCCTACCGTGGATGGAAGCGAAATCAAATCGTAACGTCTGAGTTTTCCGCCATTCAATGAGCAGGACCACGACCAAGGCACCGACAAAACCTCGTTAAGAAATCTGTCATCGTGTGTCGCGTTCATTCTTTTCATGTTCAGCGGCGGCCACCGATCGTGCCACGACAGGAACTCGCAGCCTTTGAATGACGGAATCCTGACGTCATCAATCCGGTTCGCGTTGCTGTCAACCCACGGTATGACCCAGCGCGGCGCGCGCGCGCCTCTCCAGGTGCCTCTTGCTCGACGCGCGCGCCTGCAGGCACCTGCTGGGGTCCAGGTAGACCTCCGTGGGCGTGGATGCGCGCCGGCGGCGCGGCGCGGCGCGCACGCTGCCGGACGCGTCCACGCCCCGCGCGCGCATCGTTGAGGCAGAAACGCGGTTTTGGTTGCGTGATAATCGATCCCTCACCGAAAAACGTAACTGCTCATATTGGACATACATCTATAACTCTCTGCCGCCATACTGTCATGTAGTGCAGCACAGAGCGAGGGGGGGGGGCTGGGAAAAGGCATGCAACCCCCGCGTCGAGGCAGAGACGCAACTTGACGCGACGCGGGCGCAGCTATGAACAGGAACTTTTGCTCAGCGTGTCGCGGCGGCGGCCCTGGCGACACGCCGTGTCTGGCAAACTGATGGCGTGTCGCTCCGCTCCGCGGGGTGGTATGCTCGGGGAAGCTCGGGACGTGGACGCTGGGGGGCCGGGAAATGGGTAGCGTGCTGTGCCGAAGCGTGGTGGGCCAGAACTGGCGGGCGCGACACGCTAAGCCAAAGTTCCCGACCGTACCCCCTCCCCCTCTTCATCGCGTTTCTCGCATCTAAAGATGCGACGGGGGCAGGGGGGGGGGCGTTTTCGGCCTCTGGGGGCCCTCCACGGGCCTCGGGACCGTCGCAGAACGGCCCTGGTTGAAAAACTGCCCCCCTGGGGAAGGGAGCACTTGCATCGCATGATGGATACCAGCTTTGGTTTCTTCCCACATGGTTTGCGCAGACATCTGCGGACAGACAGTCGCAATAAAAGCGTCCATGCATCTTTGACGATTGAGCGCGTCCGACGGGGAACGAGCGTCGTAAAATTTACGCGATGTGCGCCGTGTATTCGCCAAGTCGACAGCAATGGAACACGTGCCCAAGAAGTGATATGTAGCAAGAGCGGCTTCACGATGACTCCCCCGCCGTTTGACATCATCAAGATTAGTAGTATCACATAGAACCATTTCCAATCTACTGAATGTGCAGTCGGCGATGTCGTCCATAGGATAAGCTTGACCATGCTTGACCACACGATCCATGTAGGTTACTTTCCTGCACAACTCTTGCACGAAGAACGTGTGGTCAACCTTCAGACAAGCGCCCGTGCAGAACTCGAGCAAGAGATTTCGATTTGGAACTTACACTTGGTGCGCAGTTCGCTGGCCACACCCGTGCTACCCTAGAGCATCTTCTCCAGCGTCCGCCGTGCCAATCCTGGCATTGAAATCGCCTATGAGAATCTTCCCTTTTTTAGCGTGGCGCGCCGTGCATTCAGAAACAATAGCCGCATACTGGCGTTCCGGAAACGGCTTCAGTTGGCGTTCTGGGGCAGCTGTAAAATCTCAAAGGGTACTTTGGATTTGATCGGCCTTCGTACCCAGGCGAGGCTTGAGAACAACAACTCCACAGTGAAGCAACTGCTGAAACACATCCGTAAGTCAGCGAAGCAAAACGAGACAAAATGGATGGATGACCAAACTGATGCCGGGGATTGGGCTTCCCTGAAACGAGCATGCCGGCCTCGAGCTCGGAAGCAAGGCAGACTGACACATTTCGAGGGCAATCTTGTGGACAGCAATTGCTGGGCAGATACCATGACGGAGTAGCTCGAACAAATCAACGACATGTTCGCCCTGCAGGTGCTGTGCCTTTGGAGCCATTCGGCGCCTCTTTCCCGGTGTCGGAGGCGGAATTTACCTGCCGACAAGCTCTTGCCGTCGCTCGGACGTCCATTTCCCGTGCATTTGTCGGTTCCGCGCGTGCTTTTTTTGCTCGATGGTCCAGGATGGTCCGCGATGGTTCTCGCCGGGAAAATATGCACACGTCCGAGCGATGCCAAGAGTTGAGGCAGCAGTACGCCATCTTGTGGCGCGTGGAAGTCGCGGCGCGTGGGCGACCAGGCCCTTGCGCGATCTGCACCTTGATGAGGAACATGCGCCAGAAGCGAGCTTGGCGGAAGCCGAATTGCACCTACGCCTCAACAACTAACACCGTTTCGCGCGTCGAGAGGGCGGTGAATGGTGTCAGCGCGAGCTGGGCGGAAAGGCCGGCCGCCGGCGCCGGGGCGTTGGGACCGTTGTCGCCTGCAGGGTCGCCCGCGGCGCTGGGGGGCCCCTTCGCGAGTGTGGGGCTGACATCGCCTGAAGCGCTGCGGCCGCTGGGCGCGGCTGGCGAGCTGGGCCTTCGGGAGGCCTGCCCGCGCTTGGCGCGGCTCCTCTGTGCGCGTGGGATTGACCTGGACCTGCTGGTGGCGTCGGGGGCGGGCGCCGCGGGGCTGCCCGCAACGGAGCCGCCCACAGCCGCCACTACCCGCGGAACTGTCCTCGGGAGACTGGCCGTCCCTGCCAGTGGCGTCCTCTGCCGACTGCGTGGTCGCCACCGCGTGGGCTACCCGCGTGTGGTCCCGCGAGCCGCGGTCCCTGGCGCCCAGCTGCGGCGATGCAGCCGCGGGTTACTGGAGAGGGCCCGAAGGCGCTGCAGAAAGCGCGGGAGGAGGGTGCTGTCCACGGTGTAGGTACCAACTGGTTGCAGGTTGTCTCGGGGAAACGTGCCTATGAGATCGCGGATGAAAAAGCGCCACGCGAGGAGGGCGGGCAGGGTGCGGTTGCTGCCTCCATCCTTCTCCCGGCGGTGGTCGGTGCCGCGAGGGAGTTGCGGGACTCCTGGTAATGCAGCTGGGCGTGGACAAGGCGCTGGAGGTTTCCAGCTGGCATGGTGGAGAAATCGCGGCTGCAGGAACCGGACGCGGGGGCATTCGCGCCTAGGCGGCGGGACTCCGTCGCAGCAGTGGCAGCGCTATCCGCCGAGAGCCGCCCGCCGCGGGTGGGCTGGGGACCTGCCCCGAGCCCGTCCGTGGAGGCGGAGGCGCCAGAGGCGGCGGGGGGAGACTCCCACGCGACGGGCAGGCTGCTGGTAGCGTCCAACGGGGGGAACCTGAGCGCAATCCAGAGCTCAGCCCAGTAGCGCTGGCGGAGGCGGACCTCGCCATCCCGTTCAGGCCAGACGCACAGCCCACAGTGCTTGGCCCCGCGGTTATCAGCGAGGGCGAGGAGCTGCTCACGCGGTAGGTCGTGAAGCTGCGTTGAAGGCGAGAGAGGACGGCCACGTGGTCCGTGGTGGCCGCGAGGGGGGCACTGGCTGGATTGCACACCAGAGCCAGCCGACGCTGGCCGAGCACGCTGGTTGGAGGCGGAGGACGGGTGGCTCCGCGGGAAATGGCCCGGTGAGCCTTCCTGGGGCCCTCCCAAAATTTCTTGAGGCTTCCAAAACATTCCCAAACTGGCCACGAGAGCACCGAAGGACACCACACAGACACCTTTTTTCTCGATCCCGCACGACAAAGACAAACAATGGGATGACATACTGGGGGAACTTCCGCGGAATCGCGCTAGAGTATCATGATCGATACTGAGCCCCGCAGGGCCTCTCCCTCAAAAAGATCCCTTTTCACCTCAAGGCGCTAGAGCCAGAACGGTTGCGGGAACATCAAACGCTGAAACATCAGTCGAGCCGTATACCCGATCCGAAACAACTATCGTTCCGAACGTGTGCTAAGCATGTCCGGAACCTTTCGGGGGGGAGTGTTTCTGTACTGCACTCCTCCTTGGGCCCTGGGCTTAGCCTGGGGCGCATCAGCTGAACAGGAACCGCCCTGGGCCACCCCAGCAAAAACAAGATCTGGCACCTTCGCCCGCGGGCCTATCTCGTTTCTCCTCCGAGGGCCAGCGCCGCGACGCTGGGCTTCATCCTCTCGCACCCTCGAGCACATGCGAGAGGGGAAAGCAAACAAGCGACGCCAGCTCTTGCAGCTGCAACGTAAACCTGAAAAGGCGGTGCCACAACACCAGAAGAAGCATTCACTTGCGCCCTGCTCCAATGAGCAGGTCCTCAACCATCTGCGCCTTGAGTTGACCGTGGTATGTCCTCAGGCGCTCCCACTCCGCTCTGAGGTCTACTGCGCCCCACGTCCAGTAGGGCGGCACGGGCACCGTCTGCGTGCGGCGGCTTGCCCTCGAGCGGTCCTCGATCTCCAGCCTGTCGATTGGCTGCTCATACTCCTCCTCAGCCGGCGGACGCGCCACCAGCCCGTTCTCGTCCTCGTCGGCCTTCACGAGCTCCCACAGGCCCTTCAAGAACCGCAACGGCGCCTTGCGTATGCGGTACACGATCCAAGTCGCCAGGAGTGCAATCGCCAGCGTCGAGCCGAATATCACTGTTAGCATCGTCGTCCAGATCCGCTCTGCCACGGTCGAAATGCCCACCACCATCACCGCCTGGTTGTATGGAATGACTGCCGAGCTCTGAACTCCACCGAGCATGGTGGTCGCCAGCATGACTCCGAACACCTGCGTGCGCCCTGAGGACGGTGTCCGAAGTGGAAGCAACGCCAGCAACTTCAGGAATCTCGGCCCCTCCAGCGGCTTTGTCTGAATGTCGGCCCTGTTGACATCCGTGTGGATCTTCGCCATCGCGATGGTCCTGTCCCTGACCTTCTCCTGCGCCCAGAAGTACTTCGTCTCCAGGTGGCGCACCTTGCCGCGCCCGAGGCGCGACGCGATGCCCTTAGCTCCAGAGCCGCCCGTGTTGACCTGCAGCGCCACCTCGATGCCCATCTCCAACATCACGTTGCGGAGCCAGATGCCCCTCGCCGATCCGTTCACAACACCCGCGAACTCCGCCACGGCGCTGCTCAGGGCGTGGTTGCCCTGCTGGCCGCTCCAGCCGTCGATCAGGTGCGAACCAATGAACAAGAAACCGCCGTCCACGGACCTACGACCAGGCTCTGATGTCCAGTCGCTGTCGACCTCCGCCACGATAACCTTCGGCATCCCCTGGAACTCGAATAAGAGCTCGAACTGCGGGTGCTGCTCCAGGTAGCTGGCCAAGCGTTGAAGCAGTAGCCAACGGTTCCAAGTCGGTGCCACCATGCCCCTTCTGAGGTAGCCGACGGCCTGCTGGATGTCGAAGCGGCCATGCGCGACGTAGAGTGCGGTAGGCGCCATGCTGCGGTAGGTGGTCGCGTACTCCGTGCTGAGCTCGTCGGCTGGCTCTCTGCAGTCCTTACCGGTTGTCTTGGAAGACGGAGTGATCGTACGCTTGGTGATGTTGCCCTTGACGATCTTCCTACTGAGCATGGTGCTGACCAGGATCTCCACGTGCTTGCGATCGTGCATAATGCCGAAACCTTCGGGACACCGCGTCACTGTGCGCTTGAGGAAGCTGCCTGACTCAACTCCTCGTTGCCTCGGACTCCTGACTCTGGGCATCACCTTGACCTTGAAATGGCTCTTCGCCAGCTCGTCCAGCCAGTCGAGCGCGTCTCTCCTTCCTCCAGCCAGGAAGTCATCGCCATGAACAATCACCATCAGCAGGCGCTCCTTGTGGTAATAAACCTGAACCGTCACCTTGATGCGGACGAAGCCCCGTCTCCATGACCTCCATGATCAGGTTCTGGAACAAGAACGAAGCCCTCCTGGTGCCGTAGAGTGCCCTCATCAGCTGATACACGATACCTTCGGGCTCCTCTCCCTTGGGCGGCACCACGTAGATATACGCGTCGATATGCGCGTGGAAGAATGCCACCGACACGTCGCAAAGAGCGAGCATGCCGTCGTAGCCGGCCCCCGTGGGGTAGAGGCTTGATGCGACGGGGGCCGCCAGCCTGAACGCGGCCAGCGGTGGCGCGCCTGCGAAAGTGTCTTCCCGAACGTCCCAGGCGAACTGCGCGGCCACGATGCGCGACCTGACCGACGCCCTGCCGTTGTCGTCGTAACGCTCATCGTCGACCCACTTCCCGCAGACGTGCTTGCCCTTCGCGAAGTTCTTAGGCGCGCGGTCGAAGACCTGGAACTCCTCCATCTGAATGTGCTCCTTCTCCCTGCCCTGCTTCACCAAGGAAGGGCCCGGCCTCCTGCCTGACCTGGCCCCGAACGCGTTCTGGTAGGTCGACTCCCTGTCGTAGAGGCTGTGCTTGCTGGTGCCCATGTCGCCGTCGTAGGGGATGGCGCCGCATGTCAGCGCCAGCGCCGCGGTCGCCATGTTGACAAACAGGCCCGCGATCACCTCCTGCTTCCTCCTCGGCGTCTCCGTCACCACGGCCCCCTTCCAGTCCATCTCGATCACCCCGAGCTCCATTCCGCCCTGCTGCTCCTGCGCTGGAGGTTCCTCCTGCATCGGGCCCAAAAGAGCATCTGCCTCAAGCCGACGCCTGCGAGGTCGCCCGCCTTGATTGGCCCCTGGGCCATGTGGGGCAGCAGGTGGCGCTGGAGCCGGCGCTGCTGGTGCCGGCTGCTCGTCGGCGGGCGCAGGCTGAGCAGGCTGATCTCCTCCTCCTGGGGGTGCTGCAGCTGCTGCGGGGGCGGCCGCTCGAACTGCTGCCTCCTGCCTGTCTTTCTCCTCCTCGGCCTTCAGCAGGCTCTCGATCCGATCTCTGCAGGACTCGGTGCGTGGGTGTCCAAGCCCGTAGCAACCGTCGCAACCAGGTGCAGGTCCAACTCGATCGACGATGGCCCTCGTGATGTAGCGGCGGCGCAGGGGAGGCGGCGCTGCCTCAGGTCCTGCGCGACTGTCCCACGGCGCGCACTCGACCTTGTTGAACGGGCTCTTGGACCATCGCTGATCCTCAACTCGCCCGTTGATCGTCCTCGCCGTCCTCCGACCAGCAGCGGTCGCCAGGAGGTGCTCGTCCGTGCGGTTGTCTTTCCCGACCCAGGCGGCTTTGCCCCAGCGGATATCCGCCTTGTGGTGGGGCGCGCTCTGGATCCTGTACACCACCGTCTCGCCGGACTCGCAGATCGCTCCTCCGTGCGCGCGGCCCTTCAGGTGCTGGCAGGGCGTGAGGCCATCCTCCTTCACTGGGTACCTTGACAAGATCCACCATGCATGCCGAACCACCCAGCCCATGATCCAGTGGTTCAAGGTGAGCTTGGTGATGCACCTCGACTCGATCGATGCCTCAGCGTGCGGAACATGCCTTCGACCATCTCGCTGGCGTTCTCGATCGCCCCCTTGCTCTTGGGGTCTCGCCTGGGTCCACTGTGAGGCGCTGTCTCTTCCTCTCGAGCCAGCTGCGCGGCTCGGACCAAGGCCTGGATAGCGGTCTCTCCATCAGCTCCAAGAAGAACGCGGTCGAGGCCCCACATGCGCATCGCCGCCGTCGTCACTGCTACGGCGTAGTCCGCAGGCCCCTTCATGGTCATCTGCGCGCACTCGGTCGCGCCCGACTGGTACTCCAGAATGTTCAGTACCGCAAGGGGGTCGCCTTCGATGCCTGAGGAAAAAGTAGTCGATGCAGACCAGCGGGATCAGGCGGCTGGGGTCCGCCAAGCGCGCGTGAGGGCCCTCCTGACCGCGGCCCATGATGCAGGACAGACCACGTGCGGAAGGGCCAGTGCGTGAGACGATGCTGGTCTCGAACCGCTCGATCTGGCATCACTGGGGCCCCTCTCGCCTTAGCTGCCGCGGCTGCTCCGGCAACCCGTAGTAGCGCTCCGTCTCCTCGCTGTCGTTGAACGCCATCACGCTGATCTCCTTCATGGTCTGGTTGGCCCCGGCCGTCGCCGGCAGCAGGTGGTGCCAGTGGAGGTGGCGGTGCTGGTGGATCGGCGTCGGCCGCAGGCTCTGCATCTCCCACGTCAGCAGGTGCTTCGTGCGGCACAGCTCGGGCCTCAGTGTTCGGCTGCACTGGGTTGACGAGGATCGGCTCGGTGACGTTCTCGACGGGCCTCCTGAGCCTGAGCCAGAACGCCCCCCCGCTCCTGCACTGCACAGCTTGATCTCGCGGCCGTCCGCGAGCAGGATGCAGGGGCCCCTGCCCAGGATCGGGGCGCGACCTCCCTCCGCGAAGGTGTCGGCGCTCAGGCTAGCGCGCTTTAGTGACCTGGAACTCGATCTGGACTTGACCTCGCCGCCAGTCGCCGACTCGCAAGGCGGCGACTTCTCGGGCGGAAGCATCTCAGTCATGTTCGCGAACAACTGCGGGCAGGTGGCGAGCCCTGAGCCCGCGTCAAAGAGCGCCCAGTCGAACTCCATCGTGTCGCCGACCGTCGCTGGCAGCGCGTCGCACTGCGTCGCGTCGTACATCATGCCGACCTGCCAATCGTCCTCCTCGGGCGTCGGGATGTTAGCGTCTCCTGCCACTTGGACGTTCGCTATGTGAACGGTAGCGCCCGTCGAAGGTGACTCCGCTGCTGTTGCAACTGCATCTGGGCTAGGACTGCTGCCACGTGAGACACGTCGATCGTGGGGGCCAAGCTGCTCTGCGAGCCCGCGCTGCCCCCCCCCTCAGCGCCGTCGTTGCCGTCGAGGCGGAAGGCTGCGCCTGGGCCGCATCCGTCAGCGATGCGACCTGCCTGCCCTTCTTCTCGCCCGCCTTCTTCTTGCGGCAGTCGGCTGCGAGGTGGCCGGCCTTGTCGCAGTAGTGGCAACTGCGGGTCTATCGGTCCTTGCCCTTGGAGTCGCCCTTCTTCCCGTTGGAATCGCCCTTCTTTCCTTTGCCCTTGCCGTCTTTGCCCTTGCATCTGCCGATTGCATCGACCTGCATCGGGACTGCGCCGTCGCCTCCAGAGCCCGCTGCTGCCCAGCGTCGCTGCGCCGAGCAGATCGTCTTCAGCTCCTTCTTCGGGTCGTTGTGCGTGACCAAGCGCGACGCATTCAAGCTGAGGTGGTCCGCCAACTTCTCGTTCTTGATGCCCGACATGATCACACCCCGCTTCATGTTGTCCGAAATCACGTCGCCGCTCTGGTCCGTGTACTCCCTGACGAGCTGTTCGAACTCCGCCAACTTCGTCATCGCGGGGTCCGCGAACTCGTACCTGATGGTTCGCCCTAGCATGGCCGCGAACCTGTTCGCCTCCTTTGGCACGACCTCTCGAAGCAGGTACCACCAAGCAGCGAGCCAGCCTCCTCGCGGGGCTTTCCTGACCTCGACCTTGGCCACATCCGACGTCACCGAGACCAGGGTGTAGTACAACTGCGTGTTGAATGTGGCATCCAACTCGTTCTGCGCCACCAGCACGTCCGCCGTCCTCGATGCCTGATTGAATCCCACCAGCCCTTTGGGCGTGAGTGGTTTAGCGAGCTCTCTCTGTCCTCAACCCCCCTTCTTCCCCTTCGGGGAGGGGTTTACCCCTCCCCCTACCCCCTCCCCCTGGGCCTGGAGAGGGCGCCTCGCGGGTCGTCAGGGGGGTCATTTTCGACTCCTGGGAGGGCTAAAAAAACGACACCCCTCACGAGGATTCTGGCCCCGACGGGGGGATGCAGAAAAAACCTCTCCTCTTCTTTGAAGCCAGAATCATTGATTTTACTACGGTTTTGGCCCCATTTTTGGCCTTCTGAGGGGGCAGCGCTCATTAAAGCTCCCCTCTTCTTTCAAGCCAAAATCATTGATTGTACGAAGGTTTTGGCACCATTTTGCCCTTCTGAAGGGGGCAGCGCTAATTAAAGCTCCCCTCTTCTTTGATCGATTCCCTCCAAGATGGCCCCAAGAAGCGCACAGGAGGCACCAAGAGGCCCCAAGATTGCCCCCCAGAGGCCCCCAGGAGGCCCCCAAGAGGCCCCCAAGAGGCCCCCAAGATGCCCCCAAGAGGCCCCAAGAGGCCCCAAGAGGCTCCCCCGAGGCACCCAAGACGCTCCTGGAAGCCCCTGGGGCCGCCAAGAGGCCCCCAAGACGCCCCAAACGGCCTCCAAGAGGCTCCCCAGAGGCCCGAAGAGGCTCCCCCAAGGCACCCAAGACGCTCCTAGAAGCCCCTGGGGCCGCCAAGAGGCCCCCAAGACGCCCCAAAAGGGGACGAGGTGCCCGAACGCCTCACGCCACGAGGAGCCCGAACGACTCACACCAGGACGAGGGGCCCGAACGACTCACACCACGAAGAGCCCGAACGACTCACACCAGAAGGAGGGGCCCGAACGACTCACACCAGGACGAGGCGCCCGAACGACTCACACCACGAGGAGCCCGAACGACTCACACCACGACGAGGGCCCCGAACGACTCACACCACGAGGAGCCCGAACGAGTCACACCAGGAGGAGGGGCCCGAACGACTCACACCAGGACGAGGGGCCCGAACAACTCACACCACGAGAAGCCCGAACGACTCACACCAGGACGAAGAGCCCGAACGACTCACACCACGAAGAGCCCGAACGACTCACACCAGGAAGAAGGGCCCGAACGACTCACACCAGGACGAGAAACCCCAAACGACTCAAACCACGAGGAGCGCTTTCTCTCCCTCCTCCTCCGCCTCGTCCTTCTCCCGCTCCCACCACAAGGAGGATGTACAAGGAGGCGGGAGGAAGGAAGAACAGGGGAGATATGCGGGGGCAGGCGGAAACACGCCTGAAAAACACGACTGTCGGCATGCTTCGCAAGAGTTGCTGTTTTGAGATGGGCTGGTGGGGATACGCGAAGCGTAAAGAATAAGTCCCCCAGTCGGGGGTGGACCGCGAACACGTAGGCCTCGAAGTCGAACGGCCAGATCTTCCACTCCGAGTGCAAGCCCGTGAACGTCCGTGGCTTGTTCAGCAGCCTGGTGTCTACGATTTGTCCGCCCGCTGCTGCCGCGCCGCCGTCGCGCTCTCCAGCGCGCTGTTCGCCCATCGCCAAGCGCTGCTCCGCGGCGTCCAGCCTCCGCCGCAAGTTCTCGTTATCCGCGGACACCTCGCGGTGCCGTGCCACCTCGCCCTCCATGAGCCGCACACGCTCCGCGAGGGCCTCCATCGCCGCGGCTCCCGCCGCGGTGCCGTGACCGAGGATCACCAGGATCAGGAGGGTGATCCTGCCTCGGCCACGCTCCGCTACCATCCGCGGAATCGCGCTAGAGTATCATGATTGATACTGGGCCCCGCAGGGCCTCTCCCTCAAGAGGATTCCTTTTCACCTCAGGGCGCTAGGCCAGAACGGTTGCGGGAACATCAGGCGCTGAAACATCAGTCGAGCCTTAAACCCGATCCGAAACAGCTATCGTTCCGAACGTGTGCTAAGCATATCCGAAACCTTTCGGGGGGGAGTGTTTCTGTACTGCAGAACTGCAGCCATCTCGTTAGTTTCACGTGCGGTTTCGCACGGGGGCCTCGCAGCGGGCGCTCGTGGGGACCGCTCTGCCCTCTGTGCGCATGGATCTTCTTACCCCTCGTCCTATTCAGCAGCACCAGCGCACCGCTAGAGGTACCGACAGCAGCAGCAGCAGCACCAGCACCAAGAGCAGCAGCAGCATCAACAGCACCAGCAACAGCAACAAAAACAACAACTGCTGCAGCAACATATGCGCCGGAATCAGTACCAGCACCAGCTGCAGCTTCGGCCACAGCAGACGCCTCAGCAGCAGCAGCAGCAGCAACAGCAGCAAGTCACATTAAATTGTGCCCCGCTTGAGGGAAACTCCTCCGAGCCTTTTCTGGGAAGATCCTCGCGCGGTCCAGAAGGCCACCCTAACATCTACTTCGTTTTAAGGTGACCTCTCCGGTCTGGGCCCCAAGACTCTCCTACTAAAGGAAGATTCAGGGCCCTCGCGTGGCCCTGTCGGGGCCTTCTCGGGCCCTCTTGGAGGCCTATTTGGGGCCCTTGTGGGCTTTCCGAGCAACCTGGGGAGGCTCCAAGAGGGGCCTAAACCGGATAGATCAGTGATTCATTTGGTTTGTGCTCCTCGGGCCCTCTTGGAGGCCGTCGTGGGCCTTGAAAATAGAAACGACTTCTCGGTTAAACATGTACCCCCCGCCTACGACATGTTGCCAACGGCCCAAACTCTATCGACTAACCGTATTGTATATTTCGACAAAAATTCAAAACATGTGCAAACCGAAAGGTTTTAATCGACAAAACGTGATCGAACAATTTTTCCTGAGAGCATAAACATATATTTGCGATGCAGAGGTGGGCGACTCCAGAAAAATAACAAATGTGGTGGGGGGAGATAGAACTTCGCGTTCATATTCACGCTGTTTCAACCTCAGCGCGCGCATATTGATGGTGGTGACAAGCACGTTTGTTGTTCGAAAGTCCTTCTGCGTCTTTCTAGTGGATGTCGTGCGAATCGGAATTACACTTTAGACATTCACTCAATGCGACCCTGGCTCGATCTTAAACTGTGCACTAGTTTACGCGTTTTGTTCGTCACAAAGGCCAAGGCAACTCGAAACGCATTCCGCACCCGAAGGCCAAGCCTACCCAAGGCCAACCCAACTGCCTGCCCAGTGCCTGCCAGGCGACCTGCCGGAAACTTCTCCACGGCCTGTCCAGAGCCCGTGGAAGGCCCATCCACGGCCTAGCCAAGGCCATACCCGAGGCTTCGCAAAAGGCCTACCCAAGGCCTACGTATAGCCAACCACATGCGAGTACCTTAACGAACATGAGCACAAGAATGCGCGCCACCACCGTGCCCGCGCTCGTCGCGCAGCCGCCACGCAAAGTTTGATAACGATGGGCTGTCCTTATGGGTTCGGCGGTGCGCCCACCGTCGTCGTGCGACCGCCGCGCAAAATTTCACAACGCTGGGGTGCCCTCAAGGGCTGAACGGTGCCCGCCAACAGCAATCGACGAGGGCGCGCCGCTGGATCTCCCCAGGGGGGGGGGGGGAACCCCTCCCCCCCCCCTTTCCTCGAGCCGTCGTCGGGGCACCCCCCCCTTCCCCCCTTCCCCGATCCGTCGTCGGGGACCCCCCCCCTTCCCCCCCCCCCCCCCCCCCCCCCCCCCCCCTCCCCCCCTTTCGCCGCCCCTGACTCCGGAACCCGATCCCCGCCACCCCTAACCCTAGTCCTCACCCTAGGCCAAACCCCGAACCCTAACCCCAACCACTAACCCTAGCCCCAAAGAGTACTCACTACTCATTACTCACTACCCACTACTGACTACTTGCTTCTCGCTACTCACTTCTCACTACCCCCTACTCAGTACTCGCGACTCACTACTCATTATCCACTACTCACTACCCACCACCCACTACTCGCTACTCACTACCCCCTACTCACTACTCCCTCCTCCCTGCTCACTACTCACTACTCACTCCTCACTACTCACTAGTCAATACTCACTACGCATTAATCACTACTCACTACTCCCTACTCAATACTCACTAGTCAGTATTCATTACCCACTAACCACTATCCACTACTCACTACCCACTCCTCACTACTCATTGCCCACAAATCACAACTCACTACCCATTACTCCCTACTCCCTACACAATACTGACTACACAGTACGCAGTACTCACTACTCGCTACTCCCATATTCGCTACTCAAAACTCACCTCTCACTCCCCGCTACTCACTACTCACTAATCCCTATTCACTACCCCCTACTCACTAGTCACTACATAGTCTCTAGTCACTAGTCACTACTCACTACTCACTACCCACTACTCACGAATCACCAACGGCTACTCACTACCAACTACTCGCTACCCCCTTCTTACTACTCACTGCTCACTACTCCCTACTCCATACTCCCTACTCACTATTCACTACTCGCTACTCCCTACTCGTTACTCACTACTCACTACCAACTACTCACTACTGACTACTCCCTACTCACCACTCACTACTCACTACGCCCCACTCGCTCCTCACTACTCACTACTCGCTACTCCCTACTCGCTACTCACTACTCACTACCCACTGCCCACTACACACTACTCCCTGTTCAGCATTACTCACTTCTCACTATTCACTACGCACTACTCACTCTACTCACTACCCACTACTCACTACTCACTACTCACTACTCACTATTCACTACTCGCTACTCTCTCTACTCACTACTCACTACTCACTACTCACTACTCACTACGAACTACGCACTACGCACTACCCACTACTCACTACTCACTACTCACTAATCACTACTCGCCACCCACTACGCACTACCCACTACTCACTACCCACTACTCATTACTCCCTACTCCCTACTCAGCACTCACTACTCGCTACTCGCTACTCACTACTCACTACTCACTACTCGCTACCCACTACTCACAACTCACTTATCAGTACACAGTAGTCACTATACTCACAGTTCACTACTCACTACTCCCCACTCCCTACTCCCTACTCCCTACTCGCCACTCACTACCCACTACTCACTACCCAATACCCACTACTCACTACGCACTAACTCCCTACTCCCAACTCCGTACTCTCTACACACCTTCTCCGGCGCAGAAAGGAGAAGCGAGAGAGGCCCCCCCTCCCCGGCTCCCTTTCCGGCGCAAAGGGGGGGAGGGGGGGGGGGTCCGACCCCCCCCCCCCGCTTTCCAGCGCCAAGGAGGGGAGGAGGGGGGGGGGTCTGGACCCCCCCCCCCTTCAAAGGGGGAGGCGGGGCGGGGGGTCCGACCCTTCCCCCTTTAAGGGGGCGAGGGGGGGGGGGGGGTCGAAAATCCCACCCCCCCTTGGAATGGGGTGAGGGGGGAGGGTTCTGCGAGCACTCCCCCTTTTTCAATTACAGGGTGATCCAGTGGCGCGCTTTCAAAATCGACAACGACCTCTTGGATCCGACGGTCACCCCAGTCCCCCAGCGACTGCCAGGACTGATCAGGGGACAAGCCGCAGACGTGCCGGGAGGCGCGCAAGCCAAAGCACGTGCCCGAGGACGCGCCACGGGACGTGCCACGGAACGCACCAAGGGACGAGCCACACTGCTCTGTAAGTCTTCGTCGCTGGATCCGCGCCCACACGGCCACGATCCTGAGGTATGCGCCACGGAACGTATCAGGGGACAAAACGCAGACGTACCAGAAGGTGCGCAAACCAAAGGACGTGCCCGAGAACACGCCACGGGACGTGTCACGGAACGCACCAGGAGACGAACCACACTGTTTCTTCGCTGGATCCGCGCTCCCAATGCCACGATCCTTAGAACATTTCACTGGGTCCGTGCTTGAAGAGCAGCGACCCCTAGTGAATTCCCCCCGGTTTCGAACCCCCAGCGCTACGATGTCTCGTCAATTATGATGGATCTGCGCTCCCTGCCTAGAGTACGATGTGCAAAGCACGCAGCATCCGCACTCCCAGGGCCAATATCCCTTGTTAATTACACTGCGTCCGCGCCCCCAGGAACAACCACGCTCCATTGCAAATGATGTTCCGTCCTTGGCCTTCTGGGGTACACTGATTCTGAGCGCGTGGCGCAACATGCTCGAGCGGGCGCTCGCAACATGCAAGTGTTGCACATGTTCCTTGAAATCTCGTGCAAATGTCAACGCACCCCTCATGAGAATTCGGCGTCAAGCGCTCCGAGCCATTGTTCATTATGGAAGGACGGACTCTGCGGACCGAGCTACTTATCGAGGATCCGATGGGGGGGGCACCTTTTCCTCGAGATTGCAAGTGCGAAATGCACTTCCACCACGAACAAATTGACACCACCACTTTTTTGATAATGAATAGATTCGCAGGTTCCCTCCAATCGAGGGGCCAAAAAACAAATTTATCACTGACTTGACAAGCCTGTGCCCACCTTTCCGGGAAACGAGAAATATGTGGCGTATTCCAGAAACCCTGAACCCAACAGAATGTAAATTTCTTGGGGTCGCATCTTTTACTTCCGCCGGTTTCCGCCCGCCTTCCGCCGGCTTCCGCCGGCGGAGGCGGCTTAGTTCTACTTCCACCAGCTTCCGCCGGCCTTTCGCCGCCTTCCTCCGAGGAAGAGATGCCAACTCTGTCGATCCCCGAAGAGTCGTCGAAGAGGCCTTTTCTGGAACGCCTCATGTAGAGAGACGATAAGCGCTGACGTCGAGGATAATGCCACGGAGGAGGAAGAGCAGGTAGAGAGGAGTCGGAGGAGGCTGAAGGAGGAGGAGGAGGCGGAGGAGGCGGAGGCAAAGGCAAAGGCAATGGCAAAGGCGCGCAAGGGGGGCATCCAGTCATACAACTTCTGGCTCTAAGCCCCAGCGACAGAAATGGAAGCGGGGCGGGGGCAGCACCCCCCAGGACCGCCTGGGGTGCCGCCTGGCCCAATAAGAGAACGTGGGGCAGGCGTACCCCGCCGCCGCAGGAGGGGTTCATAGATGAGAGCCTGTCTAGTCAAGGAGGGCAGATGCTGGCCCCTGGAGTATGCGGGGGAAGGGAAAGGGACCAGGGGGCTGATGAGGAGCAGAGGCGGGAGAGGCAGGAGGAGGGGCGAACTCCCGCTGGGCGGACCTCCTGCTGGTTCCACTTCGAGATGTCCATCGTGCTCCTGGTGATCTTGTCGACGCATGGCCGATCGTCAAAAGCCTGCCTCTCCTTCGCATGGCGCTGCCTTAGCTCCGCGTAGAAGCTGTTCAAGATCACCTCGCCCCCCACGGCCCTCGCGGACCTCCCTGCGCCTCTGAAATTGGCCCCCTTCTTCTCCTGCTCCCTCCCTCGTCGTCGTCCGCTTCCTGCTCCTCGCTGGTTTTGCACTCGGTGGACCAGGTACGTAATCCTGCTCACGTTCCTGATCCCTCGTCCTCTCACTATCCGCTGTTGCTCCTGACCCCCTTTGGCATCGCGCTCGTCCTGCTCCTTCTGATTCCCATGCTCCGCGACCTTCGCCTCTGCCGTCGCCCCCTCCTCCTCCTTGCCCTAACCTCTTCATCTTCTGCTTCCTCCACCTGCTCCTCTTCCTTGCCACTGACCTCGTCGTTCTAGTCATTGGCCTCCCCTTCAACGTTCTTTTCTTGTGTCTCATCCTAAGAATACACCTTCGCCTTCTCTTCCTCCTGTCCTCCTCTTCAGAAGATTGGTAACATCAGCCACCGCCGACCCCAGCCTACGCAAGAACTCGGGGTCCGTACTCGTATCCTCGCAGATCGGCAAAGCATCGAAGCACCGTCTTCGGAATCGGCTATTGCCTGCGCTGGTTTCGGTAGCAGGGGGGTCGCAATCTGGGGGCGTACCAGGCCGAGGCACTGCTCACGCATCCCTGATGATACGACTCGCGCAGGGAGACGCAGCAGTTTGCAACCCGTCGTTCGGTGCATTGCATTCCCATTACGAGAGTTGGTTCATCTAGGCTAAAGTTGACATGTCTGGGCCTCGTGGTGAGAATTAGTTTGGGAGTGATTGTTTCGCTGTGATTCATGCGAGAAGATGTTCACAGTTACAGGGAAGTGGCCGGGAGTGATTTCCCCTCGTGAATTCATCAGGGGATAGATGTCATCCTGTATTGGGCATCTACAAGAAATGAATTGAACATCCGGAAGAACCCTGGAGAACTCTCCCGATCAATCAGGCCGAAAGGTCGAACGCCATCGTGCTAGGAGCCTACGGGGGGAAGGCGGGTCCCGCCCGGAGACGCCCGAATCGTCAGTGCTCGAGATGAATAACTTTCGCAACGGGTGCGTATTTATGGATGTGGCGCAAGCATTCTACTGAACGCCGAAGGAGGCACTGGTCCGCTCGCCGCTTGAAGATGACTCTATTGCTTGTGATTGCATTGTGAGAGCAGCCAGGCTACCACCAGCAACGATGCACGCGAGACGATGCTATATGGATGCCTTCCAACAGCTGCTCAGAGCTGGATTTCATTGCTAAGTCTGTGCACCATGTTGGTCTACGTCCGAGAGCCGTAGTGGTGTAATCCTACCATCTCCCCTAGCGCACAGATCATCGCTTTGTGTCCGCCGCGATCTCGCCTCGTGCCGTGCCACAGCCGAAGATCAACTATGCCCCTCAGATACGCTGTGAACGATGGCCGAAGGCGTCTCCTTGAAAGGCAGTGCGCACTATTGTCCCTGACTGGAACTGCACCTTCAACTACACTGTCCTGTACTGTCAACCTTGGCGCCCCAGCAGAAATTGTGAGTCTCACTCCTGTTCTACGAGGTGCGTGCCGGTCTCTGCTGACAGGCTCCCAGCTTCATCAGCGAAGCAATCCATAAATCACACTTCAGACTGCTCCTCGTGTTTTTCCCCCTCCCCCCACAAATCACCCTTCTGCCCCTCACCTTCCTTCCATTTCCTTTTTTCTATCCCTCGCTCTCTCTCTCTCTCTGTCTCTGTATCGCTCTGTCGCCCTCTCTCTCTCTCTCCCATTCGCTCGTCTTTGTGTTGGTTCTCTCTTTTTCTCTCTCTCTCTCTCTATTCTGGTCTCTCTCTCTCTCTCTTCCACTCCTCCTGTCACACTGTCCACACTCGACCTTCCTCTTTTCCCTTCGCCACTCCCTTCCTCACACACCTCTTACTACCGTTCCTGATCCTCCATCTGCTTCTCTTCTTATTCTTCCGCCTCCTCCTCCCTCCTCCGCCTTTCTTCCCACAACCTCGCCCTCGTCGTCGTCATCAGACTCGCCGTCCTCCTCATCCTGCCGCTTTTCCCCCTCCTCTCTTCTCATTTCGTTTCCGGGCAGCTTTTAACGTGCGCGTGTGGGGAGACACATGCATGGCGGAGCGATAAGGAAACGGACAGTTCGCGAATCGACTCTCATTGAACGGACGCAGTTGATGAATCAGCGCGCCCCTGGCCCACCAACGAGAAGGACACCAGAGGGGGAAAACTCATGTCTCAGGCCGGCCGCATATGCTTCCGAGGTCAGTGGGCCCCTCAAGAGGCCAGCTGGAGCGTCAGCGCGGTGGGACCTCTGGCCCTTTCTGGCCTGCTTACGGGCGTCCTGGGCATCCTTCTGGTCGCGTTTGGTTGTGATATAACGACATCGTCTGGCAAACTTGTGAAAGTAACAACTGAACTGTCTCATCTCTCCCTCCGCCACCGTCCCTCTGGCCTCCTCCCTCCGCCATCCTCCCCCAATAGTACCCTACCCTCCGCCCTCCTCGTTATTGTACCTCCTGCTCTTCCTCCCACCTCCTTCCGTCCACCGAGCTCCGGTCCTGTTCCCTGTTCTCATCCTTCTCCTCCTCCTTCTCACATTCTCTCCTCCTTCCCATTATCCCCATTACCGCTTGCCGAACTTTGCGACTGGATCCTCTCACAGGAGGCGCCGTTCCTCCTCCTACTCCTCCTCCTCCTCCTTCTCTTCCTCCTCCTCCTCCTCCTCCCACTCCTCCTCCTCCTCCTCCTCCTCCTCCTCCTCCTCCTCCTCCTCCTCCTCCTCCTCCTCCTCCTCCTCCTCCTCCTCCTCCTCCTCCTCCTCCTCCTCCCCCTCCTCCCTCGTCCCCCTCATGCTCATCATCTCGTGCTTCTCGACCTCCTCGTCACCCTCTTGTCCCCCTCCTCGTCGCCCTGCTGGTCCCCCTCCTCCTCGTTCCCTCCTCCTTGTTCCATTCATCTTCCTCCTCCTCCTCCTCGTCCCCCTTCTCCTTCTCCCCCTTCTCCTTGTCCTCGTCCTCCTCGCCCTCCTGCCCGCCCTCGCCTCCCCGTCCCCCCAGAGCCCCGACGTCATGTTTGTTTTGCTTCTTCTCCTGAACCTGGGGAGGGATTGGCTTCATCCTGACGGCTTGCAAGGGTTGCCAGGCGACCAGGATTGCGAACCATCTTCCTTCGTGCTTGCTTCGCGGCATGAGGGGGAAGCACGCTGATGTGCAGGAGCATGGTGAACATAGCAACAATGAGAGGAGAATTGGTCGGGTCCGTCAGTGGGCCAGTGGGTATCAACGCTTTAGAGTATACTTCTGGTGTAGAAGCTAAGGGTGCTTCTTGCTTCTATATAGACAATTTTGAAATCCCCAAATGCAAAATATTAGCTGGCGTGAACCCCAGAATCCGCCGACCCTGTCGGCGTGTGTAAGGGGCTTGCCCGTTCAAGTCGTCATCTCCGTCATTCGTTGGTCGTCGTCTCTGTCGTCCCCTTTGCCTGCCTCCCCCCTTTCCCTGGGCTCGTCGAAGCTCCCCTCTTTCCCAGGGACCTCCTCAGCGCGCCAGCCACAGCGAAAATAAGCAACGTCGTAATTGAGTCGATGGGAAGCCCCTTCCCTTCGATCCCTCCCCCGACGGGGGGGGGGGTCAGACGCCCCAGGGGGGGGTGTCAGATACGACGCCCCCCCTGGGAGTCCCGGAGCCAAAAAAAGCCCCAAGACGGGCAAGAGTGCCCCAAGAGGCCCCAAAGACAGTCCAAGAGAACCCCGAATCGCCGAACGATCTGTCCAAGACGCCTTGACGGCCTCCAGACGGCCCAAGAGGCCCGCAAAGCGCCCCTACGAGGCCTCCAGGAGCTTTCGCACGAGAGCACCAAGAGGCAAAATTCATTGATTTCCCATACGTTTTGACAGATTTTGGCGTTCTTGCCTCTTCCGCTTCCCGACGCGCCAAGACGGCCCAAGAGGCCCCCAAGATCGCCCCGAGACGGCCCAGGAGGCCCCCAAGAGGGTCCCCTAACGGCCGAAGAGGGCTCCAAGACGGCCCAAGACGCCTCCAAGACGGTCCAAGAGGCCCCCAAGACGGCTCCAGGAGTGCCCAGACGGGGGACCCTAACGGACATTTCGAGCTCTCAGCCCCAAGAGGCCCCGAAGAAGTCCCAAGAGGCCCCAAGAGGCTCCCAAGGAGCCCCCAAACTGCCCCAAGACAGCCCAGGAGAGCCCCAAATTGCCCAGGAGGCCTCCATGAGTGCCTCGAGACGGCGCAAGAGGAGCCCTGGACGGCCCAAGACGGCCTCAGGAGAGCCAAAGGCTGTCCCAAGAAAGCCTCTGGCCTCCTCCTCTTCCTCCTCCTCCTCTTCCTCCTCCTCCTCCTCCTCCTCCTCTTCTTCTTCTTCTTCTTCTTCTTATTCTTCTTCTTCTTCTTTTTCTTCTTCTTCTTCTTCTTCTTCTTCTTCTTCTTCCTCCTCCTCCTCCTCCTCCCTCCTCCTCCTCCTCCTCCTCCTCCTCCTCCTCCTCCTCCTCCCTCCTCCTCCTCCCTCCTCCTCCTCCTCCTCCTCCTCCTCCTCCTCCTCCTCCTCCTCCTCCTCCTCCTCCTCCTCCTCCTCCTCCTCCTCCTCCTCCTCCTCCTCCTCTCCTCCTCCTCCTCCTCCTCCCCCCCTCTGCTCCTTCTCCTCCTGCTCTCCTCTGCATCCTTCTCCTCCTCTTGCTTCTCCTCCACATCCTTCTCCCTCCTCCTCCTCTCTCATCCACTTCCTGCACTCTGCCCCCCCTCGTTTTCATCTTCGTCGCTCTCAGGGTCGGCGGCAATGGCCGTAAGGCCTTCGCAATATTAGCCGGCGTGAACCCCAATTAGTGATTTCTTGCGGTCTGCGCATTGCAGTTTAAGTGGTACAGTCATTGTAGTGCAGCCTAGATGGTGCAACCTATATGGTGCACTCTATGTGGCGCAAAGCAACGCAAAGCAACGCGAAGCAACACAACATAAATCAGCGCAGAGCAATGCAAAGCAATGCAAAGCAACGCGACGCGATGCAGAACAAATCAAAGCAACGCAACGCAACGCATTGCAAAACAATGCAGAGCAGCACACAGTAGTGCAACGGAACGGCGCGACGGACGGCGCGACGGGCGGCCTCAGGCCGGCCAGACCGACACCGGGGCCCAGTGCAAGTGGCGGCGACGGACGTCGGCGACGGGCGGCCACAGGCTGTCCGGACCGACCCTGGGGCCCCGCTGCCTTAGAGGAGTAAGGCCCCCCGAATGCAATCACTGTTCGGGGCGCGCGATCGGCCCACGGACCGTGAGAGGCAGATATGAGTGTCCTAACATGAACAGTGGGCGGTGGCACTGCTGATGGTCTTCGTTGTGATGACGCCGTGGCGGGGCTGTGCTGCGCTGTGCTGCGCTGCGCCATGCTGCGCCGAACTGTGGCTTTCCATACCGTGCTGCACTCTACTGCGATGCCGATCAAGTCGGCCTTGGCGTCCGCATTTTGACCGAACTATGTTGGATCTTTAGCTCGAGCTGCCTGGACGCATGGCTCGCCCAGACCTGGTTATGGTCGAGACGTGCGGGTCGGTCGTCCGGCTCGAGCTCACGATGCGATTCAGCTCCCGCACCGGACAAGCAGACAGGAGGCGCAGGGAGCGTGGACGCGCCACGGGATGTGCCAGGGGCGCACCGAGGGATGTGCTATAGGGGACGCGCCGAGGGATGTGCTATAGGGGACGCGCCAAGGGACGTGTCAGGAGACGTGCCGTAGGCGGGTCAGGGACCTGCCAGGGGACCTGCCAAGGCGGATGCCAGGCGGCGTGCTCGGGAACGTCATGGAGGTGGCGTACCAAGGGGCGTGACAGGGGACGCGCCAAGAGACGTGGCAAGGGACGCGCCAGGAGACCCGCCACGGAACGGGCAGGGGAAGCGCCAGAGGACGAGCCAGCGAACGCGTCAGAGACGAACCAGAGGACGTGCCACGGGACGCGCCACTGAATGTGCCAGGGAACGTGGTAGTGGACGCGCCAGGGGACGTGCCAAGGGAGAAGCGCCGTGGGGCCACATCAGGGAACGCGCCAATGGACGTGCCATGGGATGGGCTCTCCCTCCTCCTGCTCCACCTCCTCCTCCTCCTCCTCCTGCTCCACCTCCTCCTCATCCTCCACGCCCTCGTCCTCCTTCTCCCCATCCCTCCCTCACTCCAATCCTCCTCGTCCTCCCCTCATCCGTTTTCCTTGTAACTGAATCTCCTCGTCGCATCCTCAGACGTGTCGGTAGGACGGACTGGGCGTTTCGCCTGAGATTTCCTCACCACTTATGATCATGAAGCAAGAAAGTTGCAACAGCTTCACGGATGGAAGGCGGGTGGTTTTCAAAATATCAGTTTCGCCTTAGCGCCGCGAGCATTCGCCATAAAAGTTCGCAGCGGCTTCAAGGATGGAGGGCGGGTGGCTTTCAAAATGTGACTCTCACCTCAGCGCCGCGCACGTTCGCTTCAAAAGCTTGCAGCAGTTTCAAGGATTGAGGGCGGTTCCTTTTCAACTTGTTCTCGTCATAAAACCGCGCACAGCCGTTTCAAAAGTTTGCAACAGCTTCAAGGATGGAGGGCGGGTCGTTGTCAAAACGTGGCTCTCGCCTCAATGCCTCGCGCACTCGTCTTGAACATTTGCAACTATGTCAAGGATGGAGGGCATTTCCGTTTCAAAGTGTTGTTCTCACCATAGCGCCTTGCACACTAATTTCAAATGTTCGCAGCTATTTCAATGGATCGCACGGCCGAAGTTCAAGGAAGGGTGCTATGACATGGGTTAGGGCTGGCAGGACGCGACAATCACGTAGATTCGCGGTGTTGAAGTCCCAGGAACGGCGTTCTGGTACGAATTAAGGTTGTCAGGACGCAGTCGCCACGTTGACTAGCGGCGTTGGAGGCCCAGGGATTGTGTTTTGGCACGATTGAGAATTCTGAGACGGTTGTCTTCCACTGGTGCACTTTCCACAATGAAAACATGTGTTGCAGGGGCCTCTTGAAATTGAACTTGGAGGGAGGGTTTATTGCAACATCGTTGATGCGTCTTGGGTTTGCACTGGTCCTCCTCCTCCTCCTCCTCCTCCTCCTCCTCCTCCTCCGCGGCCCTCTTTCGCTCGACCAGAGAGCCCCTCGGGAGAGGGAGCGGTGACCTCGAGGCGCTCCTCCCAATCCAACTGCCGCGCGTCCTGCTTGTCCTGCGGACCCCAAAGCGACGGAGAACGGAGGGCCGCCGCTGCCTCGACTGGCCTTCTGCTGATAGGGGGGCACAGCGACCGCCGCTGAATCAACACCCCGACAAAAGACGCCTCTTCTGGCATGCGCACGCACGGTGGGGGCCCGACCACAAGGAACCTTCCACGAGGACCCCAACCATGAGACCCCAGACGTCCTTTGATTCTTGGTATGGGAACGTCACGCTTTCCATCGCAAAACAATCGAAGCCCAAGAAGCCCAGGGGACCCAGGGCACCCTGGAGGCAAGCAGGGTGTTTCTTTGTATGGGCCTCCACCGTAAGGGAGGGATCGAACAGGGCAGGGCCGTCCAGTGAACGCCCAGAGCTGCCTAGTAAACGCCAGTTGTGGGGATTAGGTTGACGTTTCTGGATCACGGGCCGAGTCTCTTGCCCACCGCGACACTCACCATTACATGATTCGTTATTTTCGTCCCTGCCTTGCGCTTCGCTTCCTTTTTCTCTCCTCTCTGCCTACCTTATATCTTTGCCTGCCTCTCCCCCTCCCTCTTTCTCAAGCTTTCTCGCTATCCCTCTCCCTCTCTTACTTTCTTTCGCTTTCTCTCTCTCTCTCTCTCTTTCTCCCTCCCTGTCTCGCAGTCCAATCATAAATCCCTAAAGGCAGCACACATAGGAGAAGAAAGGAAGGGGGGGAGGGGAGGAGGGCTACCCTCCTTTTCTTTTTGGCGACCATATACAGCAACTCCACGACAACCTAGGGCCCTCCGAGGGCACACCGAAGGTACTCGAGAGCGAGCTGGGCCCCTCCAGAGCCTCATGAATGGATTCTAAAGCTTTGGAAGCACGCAAAAACTCTCCGACACATTCTAAAGCCACCTATGGCCTACGAAAGGACCCAAGTGCCCTCTAGATCCGCCCGGCGCCATTGGGAGCACTCTAGCAATCCTGTGAAGCCGCCTGGATCATTCTAGGAGCCCCCTGGGCCCTAGGCCCTAGGGCTGTCCAGAACCTTCAGGCCTTTCGGCAACGTTGCGGTGCTTTCTAGAGCCATCAAACGCATTCGAGCCTGCAAAATCCTCCTACAACTCTTTATGAGGTCTACACGTCCCGACCGCACTCGAGAGCACCGGAGAGCCTGTTAGATCTCTCCAGAGTCCTCCAATGTTGTTTCTATCTGCAACATACCACAAATCTCCGACGCAATCTAAACCCACCTGGGGCCTTCCAGAGCACCTGGGTGCCCTCTAGGTCCGCCCAACGCCATCGGAAGCAATCCAGCAATCCTCTGAAGCCGCCTCGATCTGGGAGCCCTGTCGACATGTCTGGGCACTTCGACATTTTCGGCAGTATTGCGGTGTCCCCTAGGGCCATCAAGGGCACTCGAGCCTTCTAGATCAGTCTACAGATCTTTACAATCTCTACGAGGTCCCGAACGCATTCGGGAGCACTCGAGAGCATGCTAGATCCCTCTTGAGCCTTCCAGGTGGATTCTAGGGCAACCTGAAGCATACAAGCAACCTTCAAAACTTTCTGAAGTCACATAGGGCATTCGAGAACACCCCAGTGCTCTCTAAGATCCGTCTAGAGCCATTGAACGCACTCTGGCAGCAAAGAATTCCTCCGGGGCCGCCTGGGTGATTCTAAGAGCCCTCTAGAATTGACTACAATCTTCAAAGCGTCTCGGCATCATTGCGGTGCCCACTGGAGCCATCAAGGGTACTCGAGCCTCGTAGGTCCTTCTACAGCTCTTCACAATCTCTAGATCTCCCGAGGGCACTCGAAAGCACTCGGACGCCCAGGCTGCGCTGCGCCATGTGACGTTGAGCTGCGATGCGCTCAGAGCGTTGTGGATCATAACCCCTGCTGGGGACTCCTGGGACCTCCTGATACCTCCAGGGGGGTGCTTCCTGAAGCCTCCAGGGAACTCCTGGATTTGAGGCCACGCTATGGGAACATACGTGACACAGAAAGGGTTTGAGTCCAGCCTATGGGAACGCATAGAAGAAAAACAATCTGGTTTGAGACTGGTCCATCGGTACATCAGTCAGCCATGAAATGTTTGAGGCCAGAAGTGTTTGATGCCAATGTATGGGAGCACAGGTACAAAACCACATGCTCCTTGACAACTTTCAGAACACACATAAACAACGAAAGGGATTGAGACCTGTTCATCGGAACATAGTAAACAAACCAAAACATCCGAGACTACTCTACAGGAGCATACGTACAACACAATGAAATTGAGGCCAATCCATTGGAGTAGACGTAGAACCCATAAAGACTCGAGGCCGGTTTGTCTCCCTCAACACACCGTCGGCCTGGTGTTAGCTCGCGCGCGTGCCGTTCACAGCACGAACCGCAATCAACAGACATCGCGAACCAGATCCGCAACTCCAATCGAGAGGGGTGAACGCTATGCAGCGCTGCGCCGCCCAATCAAAGCAGCGACCCAAGAGCACCGAGTCAGCACGTCTCCGGCTGAGACGTGAACTACACGCGACTTCAGGCCATCGTCAAGCTCGAGGAGGGAGGAACCTAGAGAGGGGGAGCAGAGGGAAAACAAAGAACGCAGACACGAGGCCGCGGCCGATGCATCGAAAAGTTGCGAATGTATCCATAGAAGGTCCGGACGATCATTCGTATAAGCGGGCGTCACATAACAACAATTAATGAATCGCAGCACAGTGCGTAAGATCTGGTAGGATCCTATCCCGAATTTCTGGTGAGCCACAGCGCGGGAACCAGCAGGGGGGGGGAGAAGGAGAAATACAGTGAAACCCACAATCACTAAACAATGCGCCTGGCTTTACCGCAAGAGCGAATGGCACAGAGCACAGTGCTAAATCTGTGTGCGAAGCACGCGTCAGCATCAAGTTGAAAGGGCCTGAGGCGGACCCAGGATAACCAGGGCGGCCTAGAGGGTCGGACAGTGCTGGGCGAGAAAACGGCCTCGACCTGCATGCAGGCAGTGCGGAAACACCAATTGGGAGCAGAGGGGAGGGAAGAGAGGGAAGGAGGACGAGGAAAGAAAAACCAGACATCTCCTTCGTCGAACGTCGCGCGGCTGGACCTCGGATGCTATATCTCGCCTGGACAGACCTGCATTTGGGAGCCCCGCAGGCGGGGCCCAGAGGACCCCCAGGTGGACGACCCGGGAGAGCAACGACGGCAAGAGCCACAAGAGGGGACGACACCCGGGAACCAGGGCGAGCGGGGAACCGGGGGAGGGAAGAGAGCGAGACGGAGGATGACCGCCGAGGGGGAGAGGGACGAGGCCCGGGCGACGGCCGCAGAGACGAGCAGGGGAGGGGACAGAAGGAGGAGGAGGAGGAGGAGCAGGAGGAGGAGCAGCAGGAGGACCAGTGCAAACCCAAGACCCATCAACGACGTTGGAAGAAACCCTCCCTCCAACTTCCCTCTTCATAAGCCCCTACAACAGTTCGTTTCCAATGAGGGAATTACCTCGTTGGGAGACTTCCGTTCGAAGACCCTGAAGCATGCCAAAGCACCATTCTCGGGACTCCAACGCCACGGATCAACCCTACTATGGCGCCTTGGCGGTCTTGAACCGTGCCAGAACACCATTCCTGGGACTTCAACGCTGCGAATCCATGTAACTGTTGCACTCTCACAATCCTGAATCCTTCCAGAATGTCATTATTGGTACGTTGACCGAGGGAAGTCGCGAAATTCCTGTAATTTGCTTAAACGAATGTGCGCGGCGCTAAGGCGAGAACCACAGTTTGAAAACGAGCCACCCTCAATCCGTGAAATGCTTGCCAATTTTGAAACCGAGTCTGCACGGCGCTAAAGCGAGAGCCACACTTTGAAACGACCCACTCTCAATATGTGAAGCTCTTGCGTTTGTTACATTTAGAAATACTGCAACAATGAAATTAATAATAAAAATAATGACACTAATAACAATAATAATACGAATAAGACTCACAATCATAATAAAGATCAAGAGTGCGAAGAGTGCGCGCGGCGCTACGGCGAGAACCGCAGTTTGAAAACGGCACGCCCTCAAACAGTCAAGCTTTTGCAAATGTTTAAGACGAGTGTGCGCGGCGCTGAAGCGAGAGCCACATTTTGAAAACCACCCGCCCTCCATGTGTGATACTGTTGTCAATGTTGGACCTTCAAGGACATAAATGGTGAGGAAGTCTAAAGCGAAATGCCTGGCCCGCACTTTCGACCAGCCTCGGGGTACGACAGGAAGGAATCACTTATAAGGAAGAGGGATGGAAGAGGAGGAAGAAGAGGAAGAAGAGGAGGAGGAGGAAGAGAAGGACAGGAGGAGGCAAAGAGAGATACCTTCATTGGCGCACCCGGCCTCACATCCGCTGCGTGTCCAACGCGGCGGCGGCCCGGCGATGCCCTTGGACGGCTTCCAAGGCGGCCTGATCCAGCGCGCGGCGCACTGTGCCCTTGCCGCCCCAAAGCCGCACGCTGGCGACGAAATTGGAAATGCACCCGGTACGCCGCAGCCGCCCGCACTACCCCGAGCGTCAGGCGGGCATCTGGGAGCTCAGACTCCAGCTCCAGCAGCAAGTCCAGCCGCCGCGCTTCGCGGTCACGCCGGTGCCGCAGCCGCAGATGGCCGGCGCCAGTCTCGGCGAGGGCGCGGCACACCGTGGCGTGCGCCTCCGAATCGCCGCCCTCGAGGCCGCACCGGTGGGCATTGGGCATGCCCCGCGCCCGCCGAAGCGCCTTGCAGTGCACCGCCCCGACCAGAGGGTGCCCCGACGGCGGCCGCCACGCGGAGAGGGACGAAGGCGGCCAGCTGGCGCTGGACGGCCAGCGCCCGCTGGGCGCGAAGCCGAAGGAAGAGCGGCGTCTCCTGGTGCGTCAGCTTCGCGGCGCACGCGCGTTTCTGGCGCCCTCCGCTTTGGGCGAGAGTCAGTTGCCCGACCCCTCGCTGCAGTCAAAACTCCGCCCTGCGTGTCTGGGCAAGGGTCCACGGCCTCGCCGCCGAAGCGGCTGCCCGGCCCTGCGCCTCGAGGGGGGTGATGCCCTGCCGCCTCAGCGCGTCGGCAGTGTCCCGCAGCCTCTGGAGGCACGACGTCTTGCACCAACTGGACCACCGCGCCAGGCGCTGGATTCGCCCAGACTCGCGCAGCAGTGCCCCCAAGCGGCGAAGACGAGGCTCGCGCTGCAGCCCCTCCTGACCCAGCGCTTCGCGGTGCCACACCCGAAGCTTCCCCTCAAGGCCCACGTTCCTCAGATCCTGGAACTCCTGCGGGAAGCCGAAGCCCCGCCGCAGGCCGTGCAAGTCGCCCAGGACGCACCATCTGATCGGGCCACGCACGAGGGTCTGTAGGAGCCAGGCCTCGATGGACGTCCACTGGCTCGGAAGACCCTGCGCACGACGGCAGCGAACTGCAGCCCGATAAGACGGCCCTGTCTCAAATGGACGAGGCCCGCGGCGACACCGACAGCCTGTCCCGTTCAAAATGGACAGGATCTGCTGCTGATCTTAGCGCCCATTCTTTCGGTACCCGTTTCGATCGTAGCGATCGCTCCAGCGACGGGCCACTTCTACTTCTACGTACGTGCAGCTGAACTAGAGGTCTCCAGAATGGGGTTCAAGTAATGGGGTCGGGGGATTGCGCCGCATCGCCGATGCAGCGCCGATGTGTCGGCGATGTCGGCGATGCATAGGCGACGTCGGCGTGGAGAAATTCTGGCTCCACATCGAGCCGAATCGCCGATGCATCGGCGATGCGGCGCATTCTGGCAATCCTCCGACCCCATCTGGGCGACGAAAAGAAACAGGTCTTACGCAAGATGACGCAGCGTCCTCACGCCGCGGCTTACGCGGGCCGTCAGCGTGGCACGCCACATTGGAAACGAGAGCGCTCGCGGGTGACCTTTCGCGCGCGGCTTACGCGCCAATGTCGTCGCAGTCGACCCCGCTTCCTTCCGTCGCTCATCTGGGAAGCCTAAGCGAGCAGCCTCCCGGCGACCCAGGATCCTGCAGGGTACCGGGCGCGTCCAGCAACAGGCCTGCCAGGCCCGTGCCCATCCGCCCCAGGGGAGGGGCGCCAAGTGCTGCCGAAGGTGCCCATGACCCAGCCTGGAGATGCCTGCGCCGTGAAAAGGTAAAGACATACAACTTTTGCCCGTTTTCGGCCTCCAAGGTCCTTCGCCGGGTCCTGGGACCGTTACAAAAAACCTTATCTTGGCGAAGGACCCAACCATATGCAGTTATGAGTACCGTCGTTGCGGGTATCGCCTTCGGGGGATCTCCTCATGAGGCCATGAAGCATGCGAAGGGTGTGCCGATCTGGGGCGGGGCCGCCATGATGGCGCTTCCACTGGTGCTGTAGGCGGAACGCACTACGGGGCCGTGAAAAATGTGAGGGCTGCGCCGCAATGGGGCGGGGCCGCCACCTGGGCATTCGGTGGAGCTCCCTATGAGGCAACGAAGCGCTGTGCTGGGCGGGGGAGACGCATGCGAGTACAGCCGTTAGGGCCTTCGGTGGAGCTCCCCATGGGGCCACGAAGCGCTGTGCTGGGTGGGTGGGAGCGCATGCGAACACCTCCACTGGGGCCTTCGGTGGAGCTCCCTATCGGGCCATGAAGCGCTGTGCTGGGTGGGGAAAACACATGCGAACACAGCCGCTGGAGCCTTCGGTGGAGTTCCCTATGGGGCCACGACACGCAATGGGTGAGGGAACCGCATGCGAGTGCAACCACTAGGGCCTTCGGTGGAGCTCCCTGTGGGGCCACGAAGCGCTGCACTGGGTGGGGGTGACGCATGCGGGCGGTGCCACGGAGGCCTTCGGTGGAGCTCCCTATGGGGCCTCCGCCCACGGGCGACAGGAGCCCATGTAAAAATATGCGTTTCGCTGGGGAGATCCTCAACAAATCGTCATGTCAGATACCCGCCTGGGCGACCTGAGGCGCTTCTTCAAAATAGGCGTCTCGCTTGAGACATTCTCGAATAGTCTGCGCGCCGCACTGGATGTGGGACTTTACCCAAGTATTCATCGAACGGGAAGTCGCCAGCCCGACGCAAGTTGAGAGACAGGGACAATGGAACACAGCAAAAACAGCAGAACCCTAGGCCAAAGCCCTTTCTGGGAAAATCAAAGCTTGGCCCAAGGTGTTCCCAGGATTTCTGTGGAGACCCATATGTCAGACGAAGCCAGGACTGGGGCGAATCGGATCGAGACACATCAAGGATCTCTGAGATCCGGCGGTTCTGGAAGATGTATTGGGCGCCGCGGCCATTCCAGGTTCCAGAGCGCTCCGGAACGGTCTGAGAGCGCCCCGGAACGCTCTGGAACGAATTATCCCGGTCCTAGCCCCGCCCAAAGGCGTCAAGGTGTCCCCATGGTACACATGGCCTCCAGAGAACACCTCATCTGGCCTGGGGGGCACAAGCCCTAATATCCGCCGATTTGTTGATCGATCTGTGGCTCCAAGAAGTCCCGACCGCTTCTTTGGGCCAATAGTTGCGTCCCGGATCCGTTTTTTGCTGGCCCCTTCGCCTGGTAATGGCCCCCGGGGGCAGACATCAGGGGTAAACCCGCCTGTTGCCAAAACCTGATCGCCGCAGATCTGGGGGGCTCCACAGCGGCGCGCGAAGCTGGGGCACGTCCTGGCCACTTCTGGCAACACCTGCGACGGGGGCCAGGGGCCTGGCCCGGCGCCGGCGCTGTGCGGAGCGGCGCGGCTGCCTGCGCTCCTCACCCTCGCGGCCCTCCCCGTCGCCGCGCCCCCCCGCTTCACTTTGCCAACCGCCGCCGCCGCTTCTCCTCGTTTCCTTTGCGCGGCGCGGCCCGCGGCTGCCTACGCTCCTCCTCCTCGGCAGGCTCGCCGCCACCCTCCCTTCGGCCCGACCCCCTTCCCCAAGGGGGGCGGCAAATATCGAGAAGGGGGTGGGCCCCCACTCCATCTCGCCTCCCTGACAGTTGCACGCTAGGAACATTACTTTCCCCTCTCCCCCGAAGACGGCTGAGAGTGGCGCGCCCCCCTGCGCGATTGGTTTTTTCCCAACCATCCTGTGTTGTTGGGTCCTCGTTTTGAAGACACGGTCCCCGCGTTCCTTTCCTCTTCTCCTCTTCTCCTCCTCCTCCCCCTCCTCCCCTCCCTCCTCCTTCTTCCATGCGCTTCACCCACCCAGCACAGCGCTTCGTGGCCCCATAAAGGGGGTCCATCGAAGCCCCCAGTGGGACCGCCCGCATGCGTCTCCCACACCAAATTTGGCATTTTCACCCACCCAGTACAGCGCTTCGTGGCCCCATAGGGAGCTCCACCGAAGCCTCCAGTGGGACCGCCCGCGTGCGCCCCCCACGCCCAAGTTGGCATTTCCATCCACCCAGCACAGCGCTTCGTGACCCCATAGGGAGCTCCACCGAAGCCCCCAGTGGAACCGCCCACATGGGTCCCCCACATCCGCTTTGGCATTTTCACCCACCCAGTGCAACGTTTCGTGGCCCATTAAGGAGCCCCACCGAAGCCCCCAGTGGGACCGCCCGCATGCGTCCCCCACACCCAACTCGGCATCGCCACCCACCCAGTGCAGCGCGTCGTGGCCCCATAGGGAGCTCCACCGAAGCCCCCAGTGAACCGCCCGCATGCGTCCCCCACACCCAATTTGACATTTTCACCCTCCCAGTACCTTCGTGGCCCCATAGGGAGCTCCACCAAGGCCTCCAGTGGGACCGCCCGCATGCGTCACCCACACCCACTTTGCCACTTTCACCCACCCAGTACAACGTTTCGTGGCCCAATAGGGAGCCCCACCGAAGCCTCCACTGGGACCGCCCGCGTGCGTCCCCCACACCCAATTTGGCATTGTCACCCACCCAGTGCAGCGCTTCGTGGCCCCATAGGGAGCTCCACCGAAGCCCCCGCTGGGACCGCCCGCATGCGTCCCCCACACCAAATCTGGCATTTTCACAAACCCAGTGCAGCGCTTCGTGGCCCCATAGGGAGCTCCACCGAAGCCCCCAGTGGGGCCGCCCGCATGCGTCCCCCACACCCAATTTGGCATTTGCACCCACCCTTTACAACGCTTCGCGGCCCCATGGGGAGCTCCACCGAAGCCCCCAATGGGACCGCCCGCACGCGTCCCACACGCCTAGTTTGGTATTTTTACCAACCCAGTGCAGCGCTTCGTGGCCTCATAGGGATCTTCACCGACGGCCCCAGTGCTGCCGCCCGCATGCGTCCCCCCCCGCCCAGCGCAGCGCTTCGTGGCCCCAAAGGGAGCTTCACCGAAGGAGATATTCACAAGTGCGGTGCCCACAACTTCATATGTTTGGGTCCTTCGCCAGGATAGCTCTCATACATGTTTTGTGTCGGCGGCTGGGCAGGGGACGTCTGCGCTGGCGATCGGATGCCTAGACGGGGATGCCGCTAGAGCGAAATGTGCCACCATGCAAGAGGAGGAGCGGGGAGGGCACGGCCGAAAGGGGTGCGGACGGAGCGAGCGGCTCAAGGGGGACGCATCGCTCCCCGAGCGAGCGGCGCGGCCAGCCCCGCCGGCAAGCCCGCGGCGGCTGCTGCGTCAGCGGGCCAGGCGGCAGCATTTCCTCACACACAGGATGTGCTGGCCAGAGCCTTTTTGTTCTTATGTGCTTGTTCTCCGAGTAGGCTTGCCTATAAAGATCCCCAACTCCAACCATAGAACACTGATCCACGGTTCCCCCCCAATACGCGCGTCCTCTGTTGCGCATGGCTTCCGCTGTTGCGCATGGCTTCCTCTGCTATCCGCATGGCTGTCTCTTGCCCCTACACGCGTTCTCTGTTGCGCATGGCTTTTCTCTGATAACGCCCTCTGCTGAGCATGGTTTCCGCTGCTATCCGTATGGTTTCTCAAGCATGCGCATGACATGCCTTGATATCCGCATGGCTTCCACTGTATCGACATGGTTTCCCCTGTTGTTCCCTTTGTTTCCTCTAGCTGCTCTAGTGACGCCTCAAGAATCGCCCAGCAATCGTCAAGCTCAGAAGTACAGCCAAGTAGAGCATAATAAACTACAGCAGCATAGAGTAGAGAAGAGTAGGTGAGTAGAGTATAACATAACATAAGATAGTATGATAAGAGTAGAGTAGGGCAGAGGAGAGAAGAGTACAGTAAGAGTAGAGCAGAGCAGAGAGTAGCTGATGCGTATGGGAAGGTAGAGTACGGTAGAGTCAAACATATAGCGTCCAGCCGAGCATAACCGCGTAGGGTATATGGTGTATTCGAATCGGGTCGAGTATATCATACTGTATCAGAGTACAGCAGAGCACAGCATGCATAATCAAATAGGGCGAGGCAAAATGGAACAGCGTGTCGATTAGAGTAAGGTCGGGCAGAATGGAGTAGGAGTTACATCTGAATCAAGTTAGCCAGGTCGAGCGAGTCGTAATGCTCCGCCTACTCCCACCCTCCCTTCCACGACACAACAAGATCGAATCACGAACCCGGAAAGGGATTGAGAACTGCGAGGCATGGAACCGTTTCTAAGGACCTCAGATGCAGATGCAATTGGGCGATGCCAGGGGGACATGCCAGGGGGACGCGCCGCGGAACGTCCCAAGGGGCGCGCCAAGGGACGTGCCAAAGGACGCGCCACGGGGACGCACCGCGGGACGTGCCAAGGGGACGCGCTACGGAACGTGCCAATGGACGTGCCACGGGACGTGCCAGGGGACGCGCCGCGCGACGTGCCAGGGGGACTGGCCACGGGACGCGCCACGGAACGTCCCAGAGAACGTGCCAAGCGACACGCCAAGGGACGTGCCAAGGAACGCGCCAGGGAACGTGCCACGGGACGTCCCTGACACAGGGCCAGGATCCCTCGTAAACTGCCCCGAATTCGCGCCTCCAGGGCAAGGATCCCTCGTCAATCACGCTTCGCCCGCTCCCCCTGGGCCACGATCCCTCGTAAACTACGTTGCGCCCGCGCTCCCAAGGCCGCGTTCCCTTTGTAAATTACGCTGTATCCGCGCATCCAAGGGCAAGATCCCTACTACATCACGCCGTGTCCGCGCGCTCCCAGGGCCACGATCCCTCGTAAACTACGCTGCGCCCGCGCTCCCAAATCCACGATCCATTGTAAATTACGCTGGGTCCGCGCTCCCAAGGCCGCGATCCCTTGTAACTTGTGCTGCGTCCGCTCTCCCTGGACCGCGATCCCTCGGAAACCATGCTGCGCCCGCGATCCCAGGGCCGCGCCCTCTTTATGAATTACGCAAGGTCAACGCCCCCAGTTACGCAAGGCTCGCGCCCCCAATCCCTGGGCAACGATCCATTGTAAACTACGCTGCGTCCGCGCTCCCAGGGCCGCGCTCCCTCGCGAATTACGCTGCGTCCGCGCTTCCACGGGCAGGATCCCTCATACATTACGCTGTGCCCGCCCCCCTCAAAAAGGACACGATCCCTTGACAATACGCTGCGCCCGCCCGCTTCCAAGGCCACGATCCTTCGTAAACTACGCTGCGTCGACGCTCCCAGGGCCGCGCTCCCTCGTGAATTACGCGGCGCCCGCGCTCCCAGGGCCACGGCCCTCCGTACATTACGCTGGGTTCGCGCCTCCAAGGCTAAGACCCCTCGTCAATTACGCTGCGTCCGCGCTCTCAGTGCCAGGACCGCTAAAACACAAATGTTTCGCAAGCGACTTCCTCAGACATTCGGCGCGCAGGGTGCGCTATCGTCGAGCGGGCACGCAACAATCAAACCTTCCTTCTCCAAAATAAGCGCGTGGTTCGAGACATCCGCTGAATTCCAGCGCGCGGGACGCGCCGTCCTCGAGCGGACACGAACACAGTCAACGTCCCCATTGGTTTGAGAATGCGAGGGTCTCCAAACCTAACGTTTTTTTTTTACCACGGATTCTACGCAAAACGCTCCGCACACCGCTTCTTTCACTAGGGGAAACATGCGTCGGCGGACACACTTGTTGATCGAGGATCAGAGATAAGGGGGGGGGGGCATTTCCCTCGAACGGGCACGCGCGACACGCATTTGTTCGACCACAAAAATCAAAATTCACCGAATTGTGTATCGCAGGTAATTCCGTTCCTCGAAATTCCTGCGCGCGGGACGCGCCATCCTCGAGCAGGCAAACAAGCGATACACGTTTCCATATACCAACGTATTAACATAAATTTCGAGGGTCTCCATACCTAGCGCTTTACCGTGGATTCTGCGCAAAACGCTCCGCATACAAGTTTTGTATGATGGGAAACGTGTGCCTGCGGACCCCGTTGTGCATCAGGAATCCGAGAGAGGGGTGCACTTTCCTCGAATGGGCACGCGCGAAACGCATGTTTTAAATCGGTTCTTACCCCGATTGATACTACACAAACAGAATCCCTTGAAATTCCGTATGCCAAGGGACGCGCCGCGCGACGTGCAAGGGGGCCCGCCACGGGACGCGCCACGGAACGTGCCAAGAAACGCGCCAGGCGATGCGCCAGGGAACGTGCCAGAGAAGTCTCTGACCCAGTGCCAAGACCCCTATTGAATTATAATGCGTCCGTGCTCCCAGGGCCACGATCCATTGTAAATTACACTGCGTCCGCGATCCCTGGGCCACGATCCCTCGTAAACTACGCTGCGCCCGCGCTCCCTCGTAAATTACGCGGCGTCCGCGCTCCCAGGGCCCCCTGGGGCATCCTTGGGCGCCCAGGCTCCTGGAAGTATCCGAAAGAAGCGTTTCACGAGGGACGTCCTCAACAAATTCTGCAAAAAGAGCGCTCCGTTCGAGACATCCGCAACAAACGAAAAGGCTTACTTTGCCATGTGTTTGACCGATCGGAATTAACCAGCGTTTCGCTCGGGACAACATCAACATTTACTTCGCCGGCCCGTCTCGACAAAAGTATATATCAAATACATGATCGGCCCACGAAACCCGAAAGGAATATAGAAATGTAAGGCATAGCAACGTTTCAAAGACATCTGATTGGGCGATGGGCATCTGCAGTGCTGAGTGTGTTGATATTGGTGTACCCTGCCGAGGGCTGTGCTGTGCTGCGCCGAGCTGAATTGCGATGTGCCATGCCGGGATTGTGCTCTATAGCGATGTGGATCGAGTCCTCCTTTGCATCCGAACCCTGACCGAACTGATCTGGATATTAAGCTCGAGCTGCCTGAGCACATAGTAGCTGCCCCAGAGTTAATTGACAGGGGGACGTGGCAGGAGGACGCGCCGCGGGACGTCCCAAGGGGCGCGCCAGGCGACGTTCCAGGGCACGTGCCGCGGGGACGCACCGCAGGACGTGCCACTGGGACGCGCTACGGAACGTGCCAATGGACGTGCCACGGGACGCGCCAGGGGGCGCGCCGCGCGAAGTGCCACGGGGACTCGCCACGGGACGCGCCACGGAATGTGCCACGGAATGTGCCCGGTTGCAACGCTGAGCGTATCGATCTTGATGTACCGCGCCGAGGGATGTGCTGTGCTGCGCCGCGCTGAACTGCGATGTGCCATGCCGCGAGTGTGCTGTATAGCGATGTGGATCGAGTCGTCCTTTGCGTCCGAGTCCTGACCGAACTGATCTGGATATTAAGCTCGAGCTGCCTGAGCACATAATAGCTGCCTCAGAGTTAATTGACGGGGGGATATGCCAGCAGGACGCGCCGCGGGACGTCTCAGGGGATGCGCCAGGCGACGTGCCAGGGGACGTGCCACGGCAACGTCACGCACCACAATGCGAGTACACAAGAACAGGAGACAACTGAGTACACGGAAAGTGTAACAGGGCGGATATAGTAGTCCGGCCGAACCAAACTCAAAGTCACCAGACATTTGCTCGGATACTCCCTGTTGCGACACGCGCAAGACGGCGACGAATGACCACGCAATGGACCCAGTTGAGACAAAGATGTAGAGGCATTGTTGTGCCACCCCGATTGGAAACCACAAGACTGTAGAACCCATGCTGCTCCTGGCTGAACAACTGTAGTGGTGAGGCATGAGGATAGGGAGGTTGTGCGAGATCCAACTGCAACGGTCCGCCGCTGTATCCCAACGTGCAAGGCGGTCGCCCCAGTACCCCGCCCGCCCTCTGGCGAGCGCGGCGCGGTAGATACTGTAGGATGTGCCCAGGCTTTGCACTGGCTCGCCCCCGTCGTAGTCGTCGTTGGACGGCCTGGGGCTCCAAGGTGGTCGTGCCGCCACCGAACGCTCGGCCCTCCAGCGTGGTTCAATTTGGCGCGCAATGGCACACAAAAAGAAGAAACGAAACATGTCCCGCCATCGATCTGCAATCATGCTGCGCGGGGGCTTGCGACCCCGCTGACACGAAACAAATCGCCATAATCGCTCGAACCAGGGCCTTCCAGAGGCGCTTCCCGTCGTCCGCAGGCGCCCCCTCTGGGTCCCGTGGCATACTAAGAGAACGCCATGGGCCGGAGCCCTTTCCGGGGAAAAAACCATGGGCCCGAGCCCTTTCTGGGAACACAAATTCGCTGAGCACCCCGCTCCCCCGTAGCTGGGTTGCGTCTGCAACCGCAGCGTTGGGTGCGCGCCGAAGCCTGCGCCGCGCCGAGAGGGCGCGGGCGCCACGAGGCCTCGGTGCTGGTCGCAGCACGACCCAGCAACGGGCGAGAAACGGGGCGGGCACGGGCGGGTCAAATCCCGAGCGCGGGGCGCGCGCCCCAGGCACACACAAACCTGTGTTCCTGCGCGCGGCCGCGGCGGGCAGCGGCCGCGCGCGGGGGCGCGCGGGCCTGCCCACATCGCCTGCGGCGCGCCGCGGCGCGCGCGAGCCAAGCGGCGGCGCGGCGACTGCTCGCGCCTGCGTCCGCCGCGTGCGCCTGGGGCCAGCGAATGTGTGCGATGGAACCAGGGGCCGAACTCGTTCCATACACACAAATTCGCTGAGCACCCCGCTCACCCGTAGCTGGGTTGCGTCTGCAACCACAGCGTTGGGTGCGCGCCGAAGCCTGCGCCGCGCCGAGAGGGCGCGGGCGCCACGAGGCCTCGGTGCTGGTCGCAGCACGACCCAATGCAACGATGCGACCAGCGCCGTGCGCCGCTCACCTGTTGCGCACGCGGAGCGCGGCGCTCGGGCGCGCGCCTGGATGTTGCAGCCACACTAGGTGTCTGAGCTGCTGCCAGAGCTGTCCGAGCAGTCGGACGCGGCGTTGCGCGCGGCCGCTACCCTCTCACTTTCGACCCGGACGCGGTCGATGTAAGCCAGGTAGGCGTTCGACGCCCAGCCTCCACGTTCCTTCGTTACTGCGGTCGGTGCACCCGCGCGATCGATGTCATCGGCGTGCCCCCTTGTGCGCGCGAGAGGGGCGGAGGGATGTGCGCGCCGAGCCGCGCGGGCGGTCGCGGGTCGCGACCTTCGCATGTCGTGGGTGCCGAATAGGTTGGCACTGTCCACGCCTATCCTGGACAATAGGGACCGAAGGATACGCCGGGCATCCGACCCTGAGAACTGCGCGAACGGCTGAGTGCCTACTGCTGTGCCGCGCAGCAACGGAGGCAGCGCGTGCACGGCGCGCGTCGCGGCGTGCGCGCGGCGCAAACACGTCCGGCGGAGTATCGACGCGCACGGCTTGTTCTTCCGCCTTGGCCACCAGAGGAGTGCCTCGTCTGCCGATATGGCCAACTCCGCCTAGCGCGTTCGGCGCGTGCGCGGGTGCCCCAGCGCGCGCGCTTCCAGACGGCGCGGCCCGCCGTGCGGCCGCGCGACAGAGTGTTGCCGCACCACCAGATGGGTAAACACTCGGATGGTAGGCGAAGCAGGAATATGTACGTAATTAGAAACATGGTGGATGCCACCTGCGCGACCGCTGGGTTGACTGGCGAATGCCGCGCGGCGGCCCCGCCTTTTCTTCTTCGCTGCGACCATGTAGGCCAAGTAATTGCGCAATCATAGCGTCACGAACGAAGCGCGGTTCGCGTGGCGTGTGTCCGCCGCGCCGCACAATGGCTGCCTTGGCCTTCCTGGGCGCGCGACGCGCGGCCTCGCGCGCGCGGTGGCGCGGGGGGCCGACACCGGAGCAGCCGTCTGTTGCCGAAGGCGCTCGTGTCCAGGCGTAGCACTTCGCACGCTGTCTGCACGTGCCCGCAATAATTCCGGAACGTGCCCGCGCACGAGAAAGCGCCCGACCAGCGCAACAGATCGTCCTGGGCGCACGCCGCAGATTATAGGAGTCTGCGGGCCGCGCAGGAGGGGTTGCGCGGATTGGTCGCGCCTCGCTGGGCGGCAGCGCGAGATGCCAGTCACGTCCGAGTACGTCTATCGCGAAATTGAGCCAGCACCGCACACCGCTCTTCAAAGATTGGCGGGTGGATGGTATAGTGCTGACCAGGACCTCCAATCGGGCCCGTTCCGCCCATTCGCGCCGCTCCCCCTGCGAGGGCATGGGGCACGCAAGCCACTGCGCGTTGCGACGCGGCCCCCCTGGCACGGGTGGCGAGGACGGTCCTGGCCGCGCCATCGCCCTTTCGAATGCAGGCGCTATCGCTGTCAGGCGCTCTGGAGAACGGCCCCGCGCATCCCCGCTACGCGCGGAAGAGGGTCCCGCGGTGCACAGGCGATCGAGCTCCGACAGGAGGGGTGCTGGCAGGACATGCAGGTCCGCGATGCACCTCAGCTGCGCCCCGACGAGATCCTGGTGGGTCTCGAACCCTTGCTCCGCCAGTACGCTGGCCGCACGCGCGATATCGGAGGCACCCCCTGCGCGCCGGCGGGCGCGCGCGCGCGCGCGCCGCGGGCGCGCCAGCCGAGCAACCTTTTATTCCGCACTGGTGTACATCGCGGGCGAGGCGAACCGATGCGACACTGCCTGTGCGGCGAAGACGCCGACACGCGCCCGCGCGCGCCGCTCGCCTAGAAAACGCTTCACGCCTCTTGATATGCCGGTCACCGCGTCGCGCCCAGGGGGCGGCCCCGGGGGCGGTCGGGCCAGCGCGGCCACCCGCACGAGTCGACGGCGCTCTTCGCTCGTGCCAGCCCGATCGCACCAGCCGGCGGTTTCGCCGCCGCGCCCCTGCAGCTGCATGAGACAACAGCAGCCATGCCGAACGCATAGAGCCGCGGCCTCGGCCGCCGCCGCATCGCTGAAACGCCCTGGGAAGCTACGGCGAAAGTCGCGGGCGAGCTCCATCTTGCGCAATGCCGGCTGGCATGGCAGCCGGTTCCGCTTGCGCGCGCGCGCGCGCCCCGCGGTGCGCGCACGCGGGGCAGTCTTACTAACATGCAGCACTCGCGGGCGGTGGCCCACAGCGGAAGGCCTCCGCGAGTTGTGCACGGACCCTCTTTCCCCCCAGACGCGAGAGCAAATCCCGCTCCTCGCGGCTGGGAAGGTCGGCCAGGTTCCTTGCCGACTCCACGCGCTCTATCCACGAGTGGACCTGCCGCGGTGGCGTGGCCGCGCGCGCGTGTCTGGCGGCGCGCGGTTGCCGCGCTGCCTGGAGCGCCACTACCGCCGACCAGAATTGGTGCACGAGAAAATTGTGGTCGCCTGACTTTGCGGCGCCCTTTCTGAAAGTGCACTCAGCGACGCTGTTGTCTGAGAAGAAGACCACGCGGCGGCCAGCGAGCGCGCGTGCCCACGTGGACAGAGCCACGCACTGCGCCAGCATCTCGAGCGCCGCGATCTGCTGATCATTGCGGGCGCGTAATCCGCTGCACCAATCGCGCAACGCCCGACGCGCGCGCGCGCCGCGGACCGTCGCGCTGAGACCTGAGAAATTCTTCTGGCGGGGCCATGTCGGCCCACTCGAACGTGTCTTCTGTGAGTAAAATTGCGGCGAGTCGCGCCGGGCTGCCGCGGGCGTCCGCCAGCGCGAGCACCGGCGGGCGCGCGTCGCGGCATCGCCAGGGCCGCGCGCGGGCGATGTCCCGTGCCAGTACGTCTCGCCACCAGCGCAGCGCGTCGCTCGCGTGTCCCGCGAGGCGGGGCAGGGAACCGTATGCCTGGTCGAAGAGCGGTCGCACCATCGAGCGCCCGGCGCGCTCGAACACGTGGCAGCATGCCCACGACAGGCGACCCGCCATCTTCGACGCCTCGCCGGCCGTGAGCGCGCCTGACCTCAAGGCGCCGTCGATGACGGCAATCCACTGCTTTACTTTATCGTCGTCGGGCTTGACGTGGAAGCCCGATGCCGACGACCGGACGCGCAGCCCCAGGATCACGATCGACGGGCCCCACGCCATTTTTCGGTCCTGCATGGCGCTGGGCCCGAGGAGAGCGCGCACCAGCCACGCAAAGCACTTGTCGGCGTGCTCCGCGAGGCCCTTCCTCTCAACCGAGAAGAAGTCGTCAGCGTAGCGCAACGCCGGGAGCCGCAGCAGCTTGCGCGCCGCGGCCGCCAGGAAGGCGCCCGCGCGCTCCCATCCGCGCACGCAGGCCAGGCCCCCGAAAGGCAGCGTGATGTGCTGGGCGGCCATGACACGCCCGCGCAGGCGGTAGGTTACCCATGCGACCGCGCGGTGCCTAGGCAGGACCGGCACGCGCCTGAAGGCGGAGTCCACGTCCGCTTTCCAAAATTCGAGCTCAATCGAAATCTGCGCGCGCGCACGGGATTGACGCGCCGCTGCAGGCTGGACTGCGCGCGGCGCACCTCCTCGTGAAAGGCACTTGCCAGTGCAACCAACTGGTCTATCGTGTCGTGGCGCCATTCCTCCTCCGCGCTGGTAGCGCCATTGACCCTCGCGCGAGAATAGTCGTCGACGCATCGCACCTGCGCTGCGGCGCGCGGGCGCGGCCGACGCCAGGCCGCGCGGCGCGCAAGCCTGTGGGGAGCCGTCTGGCTTGTTCCCCTGCACTACTGAGAAGCGAGGTGCCAAAATCTTATCGTGCAGTGCCAAATCGTCGACCGGCACTGGCGATGTCATGCGCAAGAGTGCGGCGTCCGCCACTGCCCCAGCATGCAATTCGGCAGCGCGGGCGTCGTCGCGGAGACTAGCAATGATCGCCGCATTCTGCGCTTCCGCGCGGCCCATTAGATCGCTGACGGGCTCGCGCTCTTCGCGGGCCACGCAGCGCTCGGCGACGCCGGAGGCTGGCAGCGCGCCCACGAACGGCGCCCCTTCGCGGAATAGGCGCTCAACGTCGTCGGCCCAACCGATCTCGGTCGCGATGGCACCTAGGGTCGGGCCGTCGACCTCGGAGACTGCGGCTCTGGCCGCCGCGTCCGCGCCGTCCAGCCAGGCCCGCTGGGCCCCCGAACGTCTCGACTCGCGGCAGCGCGCCTCTACGGCTGCAATCGCGGCCTCCCTTTCGCTGAAGATCTGCCGCGCGGCGCGTGCGGGGTGGCGCGCGCGAGTTGCGACTGTCGCGCCTGCTGGCAACTGCGCGACTTTGCCCAGTCGACACAGGCGCGGAGATCGTCGCGCAGGGGCGCGGCGTCTTGAAACCACGCCGTGCCCTTCGACGCGGCATTAATGACAAAGTCGATATTTGCCTTGTCTTCCCCCTGCGACGCTGCGGCGCTGGCGCGCGGAAGGCGCGGGGCATCGCGGCCGCGCTCTCCGCCACGGCGCTGGGCGCCAATTCTTCAAAACGCGGGAGCCACGAGCCCGCCGCGGCACTGCTTGCAGCGTTCCGCCCGTCAGGTACTGGCGCGCTCCGGTCTTCCGACGGGCACATTGCCCCAGAGGCCGCCACTGGCGCCCGCGCCTGCTGGCCGACGGCCCCCAAGGGTTCGGGACGCCCGCGCGCGACGGAAGCGCGCCGCTTCTGTGATGCAGAGAGAGACCTGCCATCTGGCAAATTCGGCGCGGGTGTGCCCGCGCTCTCGCGCTCCGCCAAGCCTGGGCGCGCTTTCCGCGCGCGAGCGCGCGCTGCCGGCCGCGCGACGGTGCTCGCGCCTCAATCCTCGCGCTTGCGCTTCGGCGTGCGCGGCTGCTCTGTGCCCCGCGCTGCGTCGTGCTTGCCTTTGCCCTTCGCGTGGGCCCGCGATTCCCAGGACTTGCCCCAGCTCTTGGGCTCCCAGGACTTGCCCCAGCCCTTGTCGCTCTCGGCATGCTGGGACTTGCCCTTGCCTTTCCCCTTGGACTCCGCATGGGGAGCGCCCTTGCTGCTGCCCTTCTGATGCCGATCGGAGAGGTTGGGATGCCCGCGAGCCGTGTACTCGCGCTCGGCGCGTATGTACAGGCTCTGCTCTTGCTGCAGCGCGTCGCGGTTGACGTTGAAGGAGCTGGAGCCACTGGCGCGATCGGCCCACTCCCGCCTGGCCAGCTCGTCATAGATGACCGCCAGGGCTGTGGACTTGTGCACCCCGCGCGCCTGCCCGCAACGCGCGCGGGCGGCGGCCGGCCTCGGCCGCGAGACCAGGGAAGGGAGTTCGCCTGCAGTGCGATCTGCATGACCACGTCCTTGCGCGCCATCGCGGCGGCCAGTTCAATCTGGCCCGTGAAGCTCGCGGCCAGGGCCCACCGGTCGAATGCGACCGACCAGGGCATGAGCGACAGCCCTCGCGAGGCGGCGGCTCCGCCCAGAATGCGCGCGCCGAAAGAGCGCGCCTGCTTTGTTCGCGTCCGCGCCGTCCTGACCGCCGCGCTTCTCCACCGCCCAGTGTGGCAACCACTTCTTCAAATCGCTGTAAATGAACGGTCTCGCGATCCCCTTCGCTCGGGCCGCTTTGACCTGCGCCGCTCCGAAGCGGCGCGTGCGAACGCTGAGCGATACGCCGCGCGCGCGTGGGCGCCTGGCTGTCGAGCCAGTCGCACGACGCCGGCGACGGCCAGCAAGCAGACGGCAAATCGCTGAGGCGGACGTCGCCCAGCTTCGCGCCGATGTCGACGTGCGCGGCCGCAGTCGGCTTGCGCGCGAGTGCGTCCACTAGCGCAGCGACAGGGTCATGCGACCCCCGCGCCGCCCCGTCGTCGCCGCGGGCGGCGGCCATGCGCCCCGCCTCGGCCCTGGCGGCGTTCTCTGCGGCACGCTTGACGGCGCGGTCGAGGAAGGCTACCTTCCCACCGTTGAGGTCGCCCTTGTCGAACGAACTCTCATGAATGTTGAGCCCGACTAGGTCTTGTTCAACCTGGCACGCGCTGTGCGCGACGGACGGACCGAGAAAGCGCGCGGCGCTCGCCGTGACAGAATTCGCGCGAAGTGCTGCAATGACGCCGCGGAGGTATTCCTCGTCGCGCTTTGCGCGCGCGTCGACGCCAGACAGAAAAGCTTGCAAATCCGCCATGGGTGCGAGCGGGCGCCGCCTGTTAACGCGCATGACGCGCTCGCGCGCACTCTGTCCGCGCTCGGCTGCAGCTCGCGCGCCGAAGCCGACCACGTACACGCGGGCCTCGTTTGGCCACCTGAATGACGCACGCTAAGCGTGCACGGAGGGGGCGTAAACGTGGAATCGCGTCGGAACAGCCCCCGCTCGGAAGTGCGCTCGCGCGCCACACGTGCGGCGTAGACGTCGAATTGCGTCTTAATCTGACCTCGTTCGGTCGGTCGCTCGCTCTCCTCGTTCGGATGCGGCGTAGACGTCGAATTGCGTCTAATCGGACCTAGTTCGGTCGTTCGCTCGCTATCCTCGTTCGGACGCCGCGTAGACGTCGAAACGCGTCTTAGTTTGACCTCGTTCGGTAGTTCGCTCGCTATCCCCGTTCGGATGCGGCGTAGACGTCGAATTGCGTCTGATCGGACCTTGTTCGGTCGTGCGCTCGCTATCCTCGTCGGATGCGGCGTAGACGTCGAATTGCGTCTTAATTTGACCTCTTTCGGTCGTTCGCTCGCTATCCTCGTTCGGATGCGGCGTAGACGTCGAATTGCGTCTAATCGGACCTAGTTCGGTCGTGCGCTTGCTAACGTCGGACGGCTGCGGCGTAGACGTCGAATTGCGTCTAATTTGACCACGTTCGGTCGTTCGCACGCGGCCCACGCTCGGATGCGGCGTTGGCGTCGAATCGCGCCTGCAACGACCTCGTTAGGCCGAAACGCAGACTGGACCTAAATTAGGTCCCGTAGTCACTAGCAGAGTAACGGGAAATCGCCCTGGCATCTTTTCGAGTCCGGCAAAACGACGATGGAATCGGCACCTGCGGGGGGAGAGGAGAGGGAGGAAGGAACCTGACAACGGCGGAGGCACCGCGCGCGGGAGGAAGGGGGAGGGAACCTGCACGAGGGGCAGGAGGGCAGCGCGGCGAAGACCGGCGCGCGCGCGCGCGGAAGCAGCAAGCAGGGGCAGGCGGCGGCGCAAGGCGAAGCGGCACGCAACGAGCAGGCAGGCGGCGGCAAGCAGCACCGCAGGGCAACGCAGCACGCCCCGAGTAGGCGAGCGGCGGCAAGCGGCAGCGACGAGCAGGCGGCGGCGCGCGGGGCGACGGCCAACGCGCGCGGTCGCGCGCGCCCCGCGCTCAAATCCCGAGCGCGGGGCGCGCGCCCCAGGCACGCACAAACCTCTGGTACCTGCGCTTCCGCGGCGGGCAGCGGCCGCGCGCGGGGGCGCGCGGGCCTGCCACATCGCCTGCGGCGCGCCGCGGCGCGCGCGAGCCAAGCGGCGGCGCGGCGACTGCTCGCGCCTGCGTCCGCCGCGTGCGCCTGGGGCCAGCGAATGTGTGCGATGGAACCAGGGGCCGAACTCGTTCCATACAGAAATGTCATCTCTTGCGCAAATTCGCTCAAATTCCCCGACTGATCCAAGGATGGAAGCTGGCTGGTTTGTAAGATGCGGCCCTCGCTTGAGACCCTCTCCAATTCTATTTCCGAAATTCGAGATTGCGCAACAGCGACGTGGATGCAGGGTGGGTCTTTTTCAAAGCGGGCTCTCGCGTCAGTCTTCCGCGAAGTGCGCGACCAGAACTTCACAGTCGCGCAACGCCTACACGGATGGAGGACAGATCCTTTACGAAACGGGGCCATCGCTCGACACGCCCTTGAACTAAATCATCCCCTCGCTTTGCGCTTCTACCAGCTGGGTGAAGGGTGGATCTCTGGCACAACGGAGTCTCGCCTGGGTGGCAGGCCCATCGCGCGCTCGTCATCTAAGGGGACCCCACACTGGAAGCAAGTACATGTAGGAACTCATGAGAAGGGGACCTCGGAAGGGAAAGTGTATCATAGCATCGTTGACGCATCCGGGGTTGACACCAGTCCTCGTCCTCCTCCCGGCCTTCCTGGGCTCGTCTCTTTGTTATTCGTACGCAAGAGCCTGCGCCAACTCTATTGCCAAAGCTGCTGACGGAAACGATCGCCCGACTTCAGCCCGAGCAGGCGACTGCTCGTGCAGCGCTGTTTGTAACCTTCAGGGCGGTCTCCGTTGTCCCACGCTTTCATTGCAGCGTCTATCTCTTCTTGGGGGCGGGCTTGCGCAGTATCCTTGACAAACGGACAATGCGATTGCTTGCTGCACGCCATCCATTTAAATACGAGTGAGGTCTTGCTGTCTGTATTGATGACAAGCCCCTTGCACGTCGCAGCAATGTCCTGAGACGCCCAATACACTGCCAGCTCGTGCAAGCGAGAGTCCTTCGTCTCGAACGGGTTGTCTTGACCACCAAGACTCAGCACTTGCTTGCGGAGGCTAGCATTTGCATGCTCCAAGTGCTCCTGCACAAACGACCCGCTGTCAGATGCAATGAAGATCTTCGCTCTACGCGACGGTGTGTCTGATAAGACTGTCGTCTCAAGAGAGGCTGCGATATCGATCACTTCATCCAATGTACGATTGAAGCCAGGTGCCTGCCAATAGGCTGGATTGTGAGGATCCGCCAAACTGCAATCCGCCACTGTGCTCCCTGGCACGTTGAAGCGTGCTAGAATGCAAAGTGCTGTTTGGTAGGCAGGAGACCTCAAGAGGCCTCCAAGGAGCCCCAAAAGGCCCCCAAGAGGCCTCCAAGAGGCCACCAGACGGCCCCCGAGAGGCCTCGTAACTACCTCCAACAAGCCGCCGAGAGGGCTCCAACGATATCCCAACGATCCTCCTCCTCCTCCTCCCCCTCATCATCATCATCATCATCAGCCGCAGCATCATAATCAGCACCAGCATCGTCGTCAGCATGATCATCACCATCATCACCATCATTATCCTCATAATCACCATCATCATCACCATCGCCATCTTCATCAGCATCATCATGGGCATCATAACAATGAACATCCCCACAACCATCATGATCATGATCATGATCATGATCATGATCATCATCATCATCATCATCATCATCGTCATCATCGTTGTCATCGTCATCCTCATCATCAGCGCCACCATCACAATCATCACCATCATGAACATCATCAGCAGCATCACCATCATCAGCATCATCCTCTTCATCATCACCACCATCACCATCACCATCAACATTACCATCATCATCATCACCAACAACACCAGCATCAGCATCAGCGTCAGCATCGTCATCCGAATCGTCATCGCTAGCGTCATCATCATCGTCATCATCGTCCGCATCATCATCATCATCTTCATCTTCGTCATCGTCAGCACCATCATCATCACCATCATCAACATCACAATCAGCACCATCTCTTTCATAATCAGCATCAGCACCATCACCAGCACCATCACCATCACCATCACCATCATCACCACCATCATCATCATCATCATCATCATCATCATCATCATCATCATCATCATCATCATCATCATCGCCGTCATCATCATCATCACCATCATCATCATCATCAGCATCATCATCATCTCCTGCTACACCCCAGGCCACCCTAAACATTTCTGTGGAGGGCGTCCCGGGCGATTCCAGCGAAGGCGCAGCAGCAGGCGAACGAGACACACAGAGGAGAGAGAGGAGGAGGAGGAGGAGGAGGAGGAGGAGGAGGAGGAGGAGGAGGACCCAACGCACCCACACAACACCGAGCAGGAGAGAAGGAAGAGGGAGAGGAGGGCGGGCCAGAAAAAGACTTGAGCCGACGCAGTCGCGGCGAAGATGCGTGACCACGACAGCCTTCGGTTCCACTGAAGATGAAATGTCCAAACACGGCCATCTCCTGCTACACCCCAGGCCACCCTAAACATTTCTGTGTGGAAGGCGTCCCGGGCGATTCCACCGAAGGCGCAGCAGCAGGCGAACGAGACACACAGAGGAGAGAGATGAGGAGGAGGAGTAGGAGTAGGAGTAGGAGTAGGAGTAGGAGGAGGAGGAGGAGGAGGAGGAGGAGGAGGAGGAGGAGGAGGAGGAGGAGGAGTAGGAGTAGGAGTAGGAGTAGGAGTAGGAGGAGGAGGAGGAGGAGGAGGAGGAGGAGGAGGAAGAGGACCCAACGCACCCACAGAACACCGAGGAGGAGACCCGAACCCGAGAGGAGACGTGGCGACGGCAGAGCGGCGCCGATAATACATAAACAGAAATAGGCAGCAGCAGAACATTAGCAAGAGTACTTCTCTGAGACAGGACAGGCAAGGGAAACCAAACGGTTGAAGCCTTGAAAACCAATTTGCCTTGCAATTAAGTCGGAGAAGCATTGCAAAACTTAACAGGGCAAGGTTCGGCGAGGCGGGCCCAAAAGGATCCCAGAGACGGAGTCAATGCCAGAAAGGACAATGTGGGGCTTGTCAGAAAAAAACATACACCATTTCTACCACTGCATCGCGGCCTCACGAGAGCGACTGGGTGATGTCGGGCCCAGCAAGCGATCCGCGCAAACTTTCTCCATCGGGCCCCGAAAGCACACAGGTCGAGGTCGAACGACACGGCATCGTGGGCCCCGAGCAGGGCCTTCGAGGCGGGCGTGCTCCAAACCCAGGAGCTACCTGGGTTCTCGAGGTAGACGGGGGCTCCCACGGAGCGGGCCAGCGCGATCAAACCCAGGGCGAACCGAAGCTGCTTGTTCCCCAGGTCGACGGCCGCCTGCGGCCTGGCTGAAAGGTTCGGCAGCCCCAGACGTATTCCCTCGAGCGGATGGTGCACCAAGACGACCCAGGCGGCCCGTGTTTGGCCTGGCTCCAAGACGAGCACGGCAACGCAATCCAAAGAGCGCCAGCGACTCCACCACGAACCCACCCACGAACGACCTGGCGGACAGCAGGATGGTCGAGATCGAACCACGGTTTCGAGGCGAAGTCCATCGGCAGCGCGGCGACTCCGCGGCGCCGAAGCGCAGCGGACAGGCGACCCGTGCCGGCGAACAGCTCCAGCACCGCAGTTCGGGGGGGGCCCTGGTGACGCTTGAAGCTTGCATGAAGCTCTGTGAGGAGGTGACGATGGATCGACTCTGTCGAGGGGCCCCCCCTGGTCGGGGCCGCAAGCTCTGCTGCCCGCGACAGGTCAGGCAGAGCTCGGGCGGCGGCGCGCCCTGCAAGAAGATCCGCGGCATGGCGGCGTTCATCACCTGGCCGAAGGGGGTCACCTGGGAGCCGACGCGCTGCACCTCTGTCGGGATGCGAGCCTGCTCGGCGCACCACTTGAAGTCTTTGTCGGAGGCCCAGCCGCCGCGCTGCCGAACGTCGAGGGCCGCCCGCCTCTCTGCCAAGAGGTCGTCCGAAGCCCCCCCGTGACGTAGCCCGTAGGCTGGGACTGGGACGTCGCTCAGCACCAGCGCACAGGCGGCCTCCTTCATGCACATGCCGAGCTAGGATGGCGGGAAGGACCAAATCCGAGACGTCCCCGACGGCGCTCGGCGCCTCAAGCCGAGGAGTGCTGGGACCAGGAAGACGACGGTGTCGATCGCCGCCGTGAAGTCCCAGAGGCCTGTCCTCCCGGGCCGTCCCAAATCGCCGGGATACAGCAGCAGCGCGGCGAGACCCTCGCCCGCGGCGCCCGCCGCGACGGGGGGGGCGACCTGCGTCGCCGTCAACTGGTCGTACTCTGAGGGCCCGAGGTAGGACGCGAAGCTCAGCATCATGGCCATGGCCTGCTCGATCTGGCCGCGGTGCAGCATCGCGCCTGCCAGCGCCGCCACGAGCAGCCACGGCAGCGGCATGCGCATCTTGCGGGGGACGCGCTTCCCCCGTCCCGCCAGGCTGCGCGAGGCTCGGCAGAGCGTCTGGTCGCCCCAGCGGCCGATCTGCGGCAGGAGGGACTTCAGCGCAGCCAGCAGGCGCGAGGCGTCGTCCCCGCTGTGGCCGTGAAAGTACATGTAATCGAAGTAGGTCACCACTATCACGTCTGGCAGATCCAAGCTGCTCCAGTCCAGACGGAGCCGGGCACGCCAATCGGCGAGGGCGCCCGCCCTCCGCGGGTAGCCCCTCAGCGGGGCTGTGCTGGCAGACGCCTGCTCGAGGTAGATGGCCCCCATCAGGAGCCCCCCTTTCAGGGCCTCCCGCTGGCGCGCACCTGCCGCTTGCAGGACGACGGCTGTCAGGATCCCAGCACCAGCGGCCAGGAGGGCGGGCTGGAGAAAAGGGGCACGTCCAGTCGGCATCGGGTGCCGAGCCGAGCGCCACCGCTTTCCCGCGGCAGCATCGAGGATCGCGGAGGCCGTCGCCAAGAGCAGCAGCCACCGCGGCGTCAACAGACTTGATGTATCGGAGCCCGCGCGATGGTGCATCGGCGGGGTTGGGCTCGCTGGGGATCCACCTGGCAAAGACGTGGGGCCTGCAGGCCAGAGAGCGCGCGCAGATCTCCCGGAGGACGCTGCGCTGCTGCGGCGAGGCCCCTCGGCCTTTCCCGATGGCAAGGGCGAGCGACATATTATCGACCGGGCGCGCGATCCTCTCCCCGAAGGCGTCCGCTGCCCCGAGCTGGCGGCGCAGCGCGGACGCGACGGCGAGCCCCTCCACGCGGCAGATGTCGAAGGAGTCCTTCCAGGGGAAAGAGTGCGCGATGGCCCAGCCGTCCTCGGTGAGGAGGTTCGGGTCGACCTCGCCGAAGGACTTGTCCAAATTCTTGGCCTCGTCCGTCGGCAGGCTGCCAGGGTCACGAAGCACAGCGCCAGGAGAGCCAGGCCCCAGGGCGCGGTCGCGCGCGCGAGCTGACTCCTCGAAGAGACATCGCTACCTCTCGGCCGCGCGGCCGATCTCGGCCACGAGGCCGGGGGATTGTGGAGTCGCTGTGGGTTTTAGACGAAAATTTACGATATGTCACGTTGTTCCTCATCATTATGCTGATGCTTCCTTTCTCGTTTTTTTGTTTGTTTTCTCTCTCTCTCTCTCTCAATCTCTCCCACTCCCATTCCCATTCCATTCCCATTCCCAATACCATTACCATTACCATTCCCATCCCCATTCCCATTCCCATTCACATTACCGTTACCATTACCTTGACCTTTACCTTTACCATTACCATTACCATTGCCATTGCCATTACAATTGCCAGTGCCATTACCATTGCCGTTACAATTGCCATTATCATTGCCATTGCCATTACCAATGCCGTTGCCATTGCCATGGTATTGCCATTGCCAGTCGCCACCCCGTTACCATTACCGTTACCATTACCATTACCATTCCAATTACCATTACCATTCGCCACTACCATTACCATTGCCATTATCATTAACATTACCAACACAATTGCCATTACCATTACCATTACCGCTGCCATCACCATTACAATTCCCATTCCCATCACCATTGCCATTACCGTTACCAGTACCATTTCCATTACCATTGCCATCATCTTTCCCACTACCACTACGATGTCCATTCCCGTTCCCGTTCCAATTACCACTACGATTCCCATTACCATTACCATTACCATGACCATTACCATTACCATGACCATGACCATTACCATTGCCATGGCTATTGCCATTGCCATTGCCGTTACCATTCCCATTGCCATTGCCATTGCCAGTCCCATT